TGGAATGTCGGAGGATGGCGGTGGTGGTGGTGGTGGTGCTGCTGCTGCTTCTGCCGGTTTTGATCCACCTGTCATGTTGTTCAGCAAACTTTGAAAGAGATAGATAGATATATATATATATATATATATATATATATATATTGTTCATGAGTGAAGTTCGTGCCACGTATCTGACTGATCTGTTCTGGTCATTCATTCCTTAACTTGCACCCATGATCGAAGCGTTGTGCGCTGTTCCAGGCCGCCTTGCAATCCACGAAACTTACCCCTAAACCCTAAACCCTAAACCCCTAAACCCTAAACCCCTAAACCCTAAACCCTAAGCCCTGAAATCAACGTCGACAATACATGTTCCGTATCGTCTCAGATGTGCGACTGCGATATAAAGCTCTAAGTCGGATAGCAGCCAACATGCCTTGCCCTCGGGAGGGTAGTCCTTTCGTCCTCAGACGGTCGCTGGAGGATGGCAGCAGCAGAGGCGGAGCAGCAAATGCAGCTGCCCGCCATGGCGGCAGCACCCAGCAGCAACAACAGCAGCAGTAGCAGTAGCAGAGTCAGCTGCTGGCACAACTACAACAGCAGCCACTGCAGTTGCAAGCCTCGAGAAAGCCAGGAACAGCAGCCACCATCAGCAACAGCCACAAAGCTATTGAATGAATGAAGACGAAACGTAAATAACGACGCATAGTGAAGTCAGAGTGCCACCCCCCTTCTGTTTTCTGCAGTGCTGAAGCCTTCTATCTTTCCTCGGTCTTCGTCCGGAACGTCCAGCTTTTGCAGTCCCAGGCCTATGCAAGCCTGCGCATTTCGATACCCCGAAACATGCAACAAAAGGCAGGTCCAGAATTGGAAGCAAGATGTACAATCAACCTCTGTCGGCTTCAATGGCCGCCCACACCCTCAGCAGAGGAATCATCTGGAGTTGGACAGTTGTGGCCTCGGAGAGCAGCGATACCATCACCTGATTTCTGAATCCAATGTCCCAGCTCTAATTCCTGAACTGGTTGTCTTCTGGTCTTAGCAATGTAAAAACCATCGATACATCGTCGTTGTGAGTCGTTGTAGTTATTGTAGTTGCATCAGCAGCAGGCGGAGTAACAGCGGGCGCCGTCGTCGTCGTCGTTGCACTCTGCCATCGCAGACCACAAAACCGAAAAGACGAGCTTGGTGTTGTGCCTCCGGGTTTAGGGTTTACCCTAAACCGTAGCTTAAACCCTAGACCTTAAACCCTAAGCTGGATTTCGGGTTTAGGGTTTTAGGGGTTCAGGGTTGGGACGGGGATAGTGGGGCGATATAGTGGGGCTTCCGGCAGATGGGGGCTCTACAGTACTGATTGAAAGGGGATCGGGAAGCTTCGGTCGTCTGAGCCAAGGTCTGATCCACCAGCTGGAGGAGGAGTGCATGCTTCTGTGCGGGGCCCCGGCTCCCGGTAGTGTATAAGAGGGGTCGGAATAAGAAGTAGCAGTATCCCCTTGCAGTGCCGATAAGATGACTCTAACCCTATTCTAATTCTAACTATGAAGGCCGCCATTGCAGAAGACCGTGAAAATCGAAAGGTGTGTCCCAAAAAAATCGCTTCTGCTGGGTCGGTTTCAGGAGAAAGCAAAGTTCAAAGTGTTTGGGGCACAGCCTCCCAAACGAATTCTCCAGTCCATACCTAAACCCCCCAAAGTAGGTAAAATAATAGCCCAATACATACAAAATGCCATTATTCTACATACTTTGGGGGTCCAGGTAAGCTCAATGGTCCCCAGTGCTTTCCCTGCTCCAGACGTCTGCCCCACGCCAAGGCCCCGAGCTTTCATCCCATCCAGGTCTTAAGCGCAAAACTCGCGAGCCAAGTCTTGGCCCCATGTCACACTGTCTGAACCCCAAATTCCTGGCGCCTAGCGTTAAACCTCGAGGAAGGACTTTGTAACTCGGGCTCGCTAGTTGTCTTAGGTCTTCCAGACCGGGCCGAGCCAGGTGTAGGGCTTCAGCAGTCTCGAAAGCCGTCACAAGTGATCGGGGTTTGCCAAAGGAAAGCGTAAAAGTGCCCCGTTGAGAGCAACCCTTCTGCAAAGACCTGTCCTCCCAAACCCCCAAACCCTAAACCCCAGACCCTAAACCCCAAACCCTAAACCTCAAACCCTGAACGCCGCAAACCCTTTTTGCATCCGGTCTGCAGCGCCTCTGCCGGGTCCGCCCTCAAGCTTGTTCATGGGAAACGACTAGTTGAAACATATTTGAGCGTTTAATTGGAGCCAGCATGTGGTATATTCTTCTTCTTCACACGGTCAGCACGTTCAGCTCGTCTCTGTTCTTTCAGCTCCATCCGTCTCTGGCGCTCCACCCCCAATCCAGGCTCGAGCTCTGTGGCGACTTCAGAGCCCTCGAGGCCTTCCGGTAAGGGGCTCAGGCTGCCAGCTGTCATGGGGGTGGGGGGTTCTTGGGGTTTAGAGTTCGGGGTTTGGGGTTTTGGGTTTAAAGTTTAGGGTTTAGGGGTGGGTTTAGGGTTCAAGGTTTTAGTGTTCAGAGTTCGGGCTTTCGGGGCCGCAGCGCGGTTTAGGGCTTCTGGCAGCTCTCAACGCCCAGGGCGGGGGTTTTGGGTTTAGGGTTCGGGGGTTGGGAGTCAGGGTTTCGTGCTTCGGGTTTGGTGTTGGGGATTTAGGGCTGAGGGCTGAGGGTCTAGAGTCCAGAGTTGACACTTTAGGTTTCCGGGCTCGAATTGGTTTAGGCTTGAGGGTTGAGGGTGTACCAGCATGGCAGGCACGGTTTCAAAAGACCAGAGAAATTTAAGGATCCTCGATGTGACGTCTTGGTGCCTCTACTACTCTGCATTCTCAGCGTGTTCGGGATGCCAGCAACGCAGGAATCTTTGCTTGTGAGCCTTTTTGTTCTTGAAGATCTTTTGGGAGAAGCTCTAAGACTCTACGAGGATCCTACTATTTAGGGTACTTTTTTTACAAAATTAAGGTCCCCGACTTGTGGAAACCCCATTATGCCTTGGGGAAGTTCCTGAAGTCCTGGCTCTTCGTTCTTTTGCTGCTCTTTTGGGATCCCTTAGAAGCTGCCCCCACCCTGTAATAGTGGTGTAATAGGAATATACTAGGGTCCTAATATAATCCTTATAGTCACTATTACAGGGTGGGGGCAGCTTCTAAGGGATCCCGCTAGATTCCGGTGGCTTGGATCGACGTCTTTCAGCCGGACCTTCGGGCTGGAGGGCAAATTTTTGCTGCGAGGGGGCCCCGACAGTTTGGAATGGAACGAGTATCAGGGGCCGTGAGCATCCCAAGGATTTTTGGTAGACCGACATAGCTGAGTTGAGGGTTTGGGATTTAGTGTCACAGTTTTCGAACCAAGAAACTTTCAGACGCGGCCCAGTAAGCAGGTAAGGATCGAGTGACATTGCACCAGGCGATGAAGCCGTCATCCCTGCTTTGAGAATCGCTCTACTCCGAGGTATCTGGAGGTCCCGAAGGCTGTTCAGGCAACGGCATGATATTGCAGTTTCTGGTCTTGAGCTGGTTTGAAGTTACCGACTGCCTTAAGCTGTGAAGGGCTCTGAGGCCTGACAGCAGCAGGGACCGGAAGTGATTCGTGGTCCAACGGTTCAACAATTTAAAGACATGAAGAGACAGGTTTTCGAGGGTTTATAGGAGCTCAGGGATTGGGACTTAGTTATGGACTTGCTGGCGAGTTCTGAAGGGGTGCCACGTCTCCGCGGCAACGTGCGAAAGCCATAAAAGTCTAAAGTCTAGACCCCGTGTCACAATGCTTCTGCCACAACCCTGCCCCACAGGGGACGCACAGCAAGATCACGGAAGAAGGAGGCTGACACCGAGACTTCATTTAGCGGTTGAAGGGGCAACTGAAGTAAATGCATCTTGCTCATCAGTTCAAAGCATGGCAGAGATTGGGCTGATTTGTGGCATCTCGTGTCGGAGCCGAAACTTGAGATCAATGTCCATGTGGGATTGCAGTAGCAGCAGCAGCAGCAGTAGTAGTCGTCGTCGGAGTCGGAGTTGGAGTAGGAGTAATTATTACGCAATCAATTAGCAGTAGAAGTCGTCTTCGTCGTCGTCCTAGTCGACAGCGTCGGTGTAGTCGTCGTCGCAGAAGTTGTAATACTAGTAGAAGTCGTAGCCGCAGCAGTAACATGTGCCTTTGACTCAGTAAGCCTGTGGTTTACTGGTGATGTGACTTTAGTGATGGTTCGTGTGCAATGGAAAGAACCAATCAATAATACACGCACCGCAGAAATCCCAGACAAAAGGCCAAATTTAGTCGTCGTCCTCGTGGTGGTGGTGGTGGTGATGGTGGTGGTGGTGGTGGTGGTGGTGGTGGTGGTGGTGGTGGTGCTCGCTGTCGTGGTGGCATTCCTCCCCCTCACCACCAAGACTGCAGATGCTGTTTGAAAGCAGTGCTAGGAGTGCTCAGGGCCGTTCTGGCAGGCTTCAGCAGCGCCAGTGAGGACGATGCCCTGCTTGACTCGGAGCCTGTCGAGGACCTTGGCCTCAAACGCCACTTCCGGGCAGCCCATGGGTGGTTGTCAAAGTTAGGTCCATTTTTGGGTACCCTAAATAATGGCTGCCATATTATAATAAGGACCCAAAAAGGGACCATACTTTTGAAATCCACCCAGGTTTGCCGTCAGGTCCCAGCCTTCCTCCCTAAAGTGCGTCGTGAGGTCTTGAGCTGCAGGCCAGCAAGAAAAGTCCCCCGAAGTGCTGAGGAGGTGGCACCCATGTTCCTCAGCCTGCGGACCCAAATCCGGCCTGGGGCTTAGAAGCCTGGAGCAGCGGATGCCGCAAGACTCGCCAGCAGCTTTCCATAGCATGGCCTCTGCGTAGCCAGAGCCTCTCGCAGCCATTCAGCTCGCCGTATCCTCCCCTCTCCACCCAAAGCTTCGGTGGAGAACGCACGGCACGATGTGGTCCGCAAGCTTGATCTGCAGCATCGCGCTCGCAGTGCTGGCGGCTGCCGTGTGCCAAGAGGAGGCATGTGCGGGTGGCGAGATGGACGAAGCCTTCATGGTACAGAAGAGGGCGAAGGCAAGCGATTTTGGGACGACAGGGAAGAATGGAACTCGCAAGCTTGCGATGACTTTTGAAGGTGGTGGTTTCAAGGCGCACTCAGCTTTCACAGGTGTGATGAGCGGATTGTTGGGTGCTTCCGGACTCGGCGTGGAGAAGTTGCTCCATGCAGTGGAGGTCTTGGTGTCCATAAGCGGAGGAACGTGGTTTGCAGCCCAGCTGATCTACTCTCCCGCGTTTCTCTCCCTGGTGGAAGAGATGGGTAAGAAGCCCGAAGATGCCGGAAAGCTGTTTTGGAAGTCCTGGGTGGTGCCCTTCTTGGAATCCATGGTCACCATAAAGAGCACGGGTTCTTCGAGCCCCTGGGATCCTCCGAAGCCAAGCAAAGTTCCACAGACGGTGTTGCCTTGCTGGTTTAGGGTTTAGGGTTTAGGGTAGGAATTGTGGTTTATTTCTATTTCAATAAAACTTTAAGGGATTCATAAGATAATTGCTAAGGTTGAAGAACGACCGTTTCCACGAGTTGCCTGGGAGAGAGGGCAAGCCCGGGATTTGGATAGATTTCGTTCAGATTCTCTTCGAGGTCATCTATGCCTTCATCCATGAGCACGGGAACTGGGAGGACTTTGTTGGAAAGATCTTGAACACCATGCGAGACGTGTCCAGCCAAGCTACATTGGGCAGCAAAACCAATCCTTGGGCCAGCAGCAAGACTTGGCTGGTGTCCGTGTCTGTCGCCAGTGCCGGAAACGGCACTGGTCCAGGGTCTTGTGCAAGCTCCGGTTTCCGACCACTCTGTATAGCCAAAGCATATCACGGGGGTCCCTCTGTAGGAGTGTACCGGAACGGCACCTTCGGCGTGACCTATTCCTGCCCCAGTTCTCGGAGTCGGGCCATGTCCTCCTGGGCACCCGCCGCGTTCAGCGTGAAGTTGGGCGTGCCAGAAGCACCCAGTGCCACTTTCTGCCATGATTGCCAGGACCTGGAGATCCGGTATACCGGAGTGACACGAACAAAAGGAGACCCATCGGCAACATCGCGCAAGGGCGACCTCTATGCCTTCGGCACGGGCACTCCTGTGATCCAGGCCGTGGCAGCTTCGTCTGCCTTCCTAGGGCCCCTTTCAGCCATCCCCTTGAACAAGGAAGGCTTCGCTGAAAATATCGCGAGGGCGGTAAAAGGCTTCTTGGAGGGCTTCAAGGGCATCCCGGATTGGTTTGCAGACTTCCTCTCCAAAGGCTTGCAAAATGCCTTGGACATCAACTGGATCGTCTGGGCTCAAAGCGCTGACAGTGACTCGGTAGGCCTTCGGGACATTTCTTAGTCCTCCCCTTCTTGGGCGTAAGAACATCTTAGATTCTTTACGACTACCTAAACCCCCCAAAGTAGGTAAAATAATGGCCCAATTCCTATAAAAGGCCATTATTCTACCTACTTTGGTGGGTTTAGGTATTTTCAGACGCCATAGAGGGCCAGCCGAGGTGACAAGGCTTCCTTCCAGGATGCCGTGAAGGCCCTGAGGTTCCTGGACAAATCTGGCGGTGAAGTCGGCCAGCAGGAGCTGGACATGCTAGCAAAGAAGAGCTTCTGGGTAGTTAATAAAGGTACCTCTTTGGGTATCCTAAATAATAGGTGCCGTATTATAATCGGGACCCCAAAAGGGACCATAGTCTTGACAACCACCCTTCTAGGTAGGCCTTTCGGACATTGCACCTTCCGCTTAACTTGCTTTAGAGGGTCTTTGCGCAAGCGTGTCTCCCAGTGGCTGACAAAGTGCCACCACATGCCGACCAAGGCTTCTTTGGCATCGCTGATGGGGGTGTGGGGGACAACTCCGGTATCGGCCACTCCCTCGCCGCTGGCGCAGATGAGATCATCGTCTTCGCAGACATGCCAACGAGTGTCTCGCAAACGGGGAAGCAAAAGGGATCCCGGCAGATCTTCGATGTGCCTTTGGTTGACTTGTGCCCTCTTTGCTACGCAAACTTCCAACTCTTCGAGGAGTCGAAGGAGGAGATCGATACGCAGTGGGAGAAGCAACAGACCCTCTTCTACCTCCCGCCGGAGACCACAACCCTGAACTCTTTGAGCATAGGGAGCTTGCAGCTCACCACTGCTCAGAATGACTACTTTGGCACTTCAGGAGGTCGCTCGGTTAAGGTGCATGTCATCAGTGTCTTGTCGGGCCTTGGGATTGGTGGCAAGGCCTACGAGGACTACGCCACTTTCTTGAAGGATATCATTGGAGCTTTTGCCCGCTCCGATAACCAGGACAAAGTTCAAGAGATCCTGAACTGGCTCCAGTAGTACTATAGGGTCCTCAATAATTACCCATACTATTTTGGGGGGTCCTTATTATAACTATAGTATAATGGGCTCTAAAACCCTGTTCTAAGTATTGAGGCCCCTATATGAGTTTACCGTATTCTACTTATCGTAGTAAAGCTTGGGTCGGGAACTCGAGAGCTCGAGTGCCTCCCACCACCCTTTGTTTCAAGACTTGAATCTTCGTGTCGATCTTCAAAGCAAGGATCTGTACCTTCCGCGAACACAAAGATACTGCCATCGCACCATCCCTCTGTTTCAAGAGTTTTGATGCCGATCTTCAAAGCAAGGATCCGCATCGTGCAAGAACACAAAGATTCCATGGTGTAGGCGGGCCAACCAGGTTCTCACCATGCTTGAGCATGCTGAATCCTCCTCCTGCGGTTGTCAACTGTGCCGTCAACGGCTCAATGTGTGCTTCATAATATGCGTTCATATGAATGTATAAACAACATACTATAAGTCTTGCGAATGTTCGCGTGATGATCTGCGAATCTACGTCCGCCTGCCCCAGTGGAATCTTCAAGTTAAGTTTGAAACGCAGCCCTTTTGCTTCTTTTCAATTCAGGCAAGCCTCCGAGCAGAACATGGCAGCGGAGGGACAAGTCTGCACAAGCCTAAGGGTCCACACATACTACCATTATGGAATTAGGTCCCAAAAGACCATCCCTATTATGGCGTTTGGAGACCTAATTCCATAGTGGTAGTATACGTGGAGCCTCTGGGTAAATATTTCAAACTAATCTGCTCCTTACGAACCTCCGAACCTGCCCTTAACCCTAAACCCGAAGCCCCTAAATCAGATTTTAAACCCTAAACCCCAAAATCAAATCCTAAACCCCTAACCCCAAGCACAAAGCCTAAACCCAACTACATACTGGGTTTTTAGTTCGGACCTACTTAGGGTTCAGCCTCCGGAGGGTGGACGATGACTCTCCAATGGCGAGCTTTGACGATATTCCTGCCTTCGGAGTGCGGTTCTTGGCTTCAACCTGGGTTCTTGTTAAGGGGTTTGTTTTAAGCTACCACAATACTGAGACCATATTATTTATTTACTAGATCCCTTTTACTGTAACTTAAAGTAAAATCCCCTGATGAGCAAGAACCCAGGTTCCACCGAGACATAAGAGATTGGATGTCGTTAGAAGCAGTGCTGTTAGGTTGTTGATGCAGGCTGCTGTAAGTGTTGTTCGGTATTCCGTGTCAGTCTCTATTAATTTCAACAGTTACATCACTTATTGTTTTTTTGTGCACCGATTGTCCATCTGCTGTGTTGAAGCAGTTGTGCTGCGGTTACGATTTCGGATTCGATGAGTGGTATGTCAGCAGGGTTTCGATTGCATGGAGTGCAACTCAATGTTTTCATTGTTTAGATTGCTGCTTCCATGGCTTATGAGGGTGTATGTTGTGATTTTGGGTATGCCAATGCGGTCAAGATTCCGTTGCTGGCATTATGATGTTGTCGAATTCTCAATCTGACATGGCAGTGTGCACAAAAACAGACTCGATCTCCTGCCCAAATGGGAGTTTCCGAAAATAGGGGACCCAAATACAGTACCCTAAATAGTACGATCCGTATTATAATGACCCCAAAACAAGGTACCCCTTTTTTGGGAAACTCCCAAATGAAGCAGCGAGAGAAGCGGCGAGCTGCCTGGGCACCGACTTCTGGTTGAAGCAACGGCAGGATCTCACAGGGCAGCACTCTCACCCCAAAGCTTCCATGCGAGCCCACCCGTGCCCAGCCAGAAGATCAGCATTGGCTGAACTCCAATTCTCGAAGTATCACATGATCAGATGATGTCTGGAGTCTCACGCGCGCGTGCGTGTTCTTAATATACTGTTCTGCTACTCTTCACTCGTTGTCTTTGCTATTGTAGCCCAACAAAGAGCCTGGTGGCATGTTCGACTCGGAAGGATGCTAAGGACATGGGGGCAAAGAAGAACAGAAGGTATGTAGGGTGCGCAAGGCATCCTTCGGTGACGAAAGCTCCATGAAGAAGCGGACGAACTTCGATATCCCCGAGGAGCTTTGGGTTTAGAGTGCAGGGTGTACTTGGAGGATCATGGGACTTAGTAAGTAAGGTTATAAGGACCTCAATTGGGGTTATAAGTAGATATAAGTAGAGTTACCTTAATTATAACCCTAGTTACTAAGTCCCATCCTTTAAGTAGGGTTTAGGAAGTTTAGGGATGCAAGTGACGCGTGAAACAGACAGGCACCTGGATATGTAGGGTTCAGGTTTTGGGGGGTTTCGAAGCCTTGAGGTTAAGGTTTAGATGACAGGATTTGGGTTTACCGGGTTTAGTGGTTTGGGTACGGGAGTGTATTGGTTAGTACGGGGTTTGGGGTTTGGCGTACAGCAGTGGTTCGGGTATGGGGGTTGTATTTCTGGAGTTTACGCTAGATAGGCGGCATTATCTTACCTGTGGTTAGTAGGGAAGGGAGGAATGGGGTACAATTATGATAACTATTACTACCATGCTTCCATTCCCCACGGTAAGATTAGCGATTTCGAGCTCGACACCCCATGGCCCTCAAACATAAGATCCTTCTCTTCAAGTCAAGAGCATCTGGGAGTTTCCGAAAACTAGGGGTACCTTATTCGGGGTCCTTCTAATATGGATCCTACTATTTAAGGTACTATCTTAGCGTCCCCTAATTTCGGAAAACTCTCACAAGACAGGCTCACGCATTCTCTTTCTTAGGCCTCCTGAGTAAGATTCGCAGCTCTTGGCTTGCTAGTCAGGACATTTCGGTGCTACTAGACTCCTCCTAGCATGACGGATTGGTTCTACTGCTCTCATCACAGCTGCTACATGAGGGCCATCCGGTGTACTCTCTCTCTCCCTTCCTCTCTCTCTCTCTCTCCCTCTCTCTCTCTCTCTCTCTCTCTCTCTCTCTCTCTCTCTCTCTCTCTCGCTCTTGCCATGATCCTCAGCCTCGTGGGCCGCAAGGGTTACGAATACCGAATACCTCAAAAGCAAATGCCAAGGGCTGTAGAGTTTTGCTTCGGGCTTACGCAAGCCCGTGATCTCGAACGGTCCTTCGCACTGGTGGAAGCCTTAAAGGTGCTAAACTCCACGCTTTAGACGGCCAGAGCCGCAGTTTTCGCCCGTCAAGGAGCCAAATGCTGATTGGCCTTTGCCCGAAAGACTAACTCCGGCGGGATCGGAGGTGCCTGGGCAGGGAAAGGCTTTTAGGTTTAAGATCTTTTTTGTGACATGACGCTGCGTCTCCACTCCATCTTCATGTATCAATCCAGTGTGTATGCTGCATTGCAGAAGGTGTTTGTGTCTCAACCGAACGCCAAGCAGCAAGTGATCAGTAAGTCAGATGTAGTCCCAACCCGTCGACAATGCTTCTTACTGCAGCTTTTTGTAGTTTCAAACCCTAAAACCCCCAAACCCCGAAACCCTAAACCCTAAACCCCTAAACCTTGACAGTACAAGCCTGTGAAGACCCTGAGCCCCAAACTCAAGCCTGAAGTCCTCAGTCTGTCAGCGCGTGGATCTTCAGGTCAGTTTCAAGCCGATGAAAGAGTTTGGCACCGAAACCCTGGTCTTTACAGAGGAAGGCGAAGACGATGCAGGCGGTTCTGTGCGTGTTGGGGCTGCAAAGTTCTCTACTCATAGTGGCTTTCGTGGCCATTCTCGCTTCTCCATGCAAAGGAAAAGCCGGAAACTAAGTGATACTTGGAAATGCGAGTGCTGGAACAGCTCGTCCTGCATACTATGCGCCAGATGCATCTTAGCCATCCTGCTTGCTTATTATTCTGCGATGTAACTATACCAGTGATGAAAGCGTTATTGAGCATTTTCGCACGCAGATGGTGGGTCGAAGATTTCACTTGATCCCGCAGGCTCAGCACCGGACTTCATTGACCTTGACATGGATGTGCGAGACCTGCATGAAGAGGTGCCGAACCCTCTTCGACTTACGGCAAGTCCTAGAGACCAGTGGAAAGCCGTTTAAATCCGTACAGCTGCGTCTTGGTCAGCTGGCCCGGAAACCCCACAATTAAGCTAACCCCAGCAAAAGCTGCTCCGTGAAGGCCTTACCCGAAACCCTTCAAAAACGCTTCTAGAAACCTTATTCCCCGCAGCCGAAAAGCCGCTAATTCCAAGCTCCATAAAATTACCTAAGCCGTGCCTCTCTCAGGGCGAGGAGGAGGAGCACCCGCCTCCGCTGTCACCTCTAGCAGGAGGCACCACGGGCTGCAAGCATTCAAGAGGAATGACGGCTTTGGGCCCTGGGGCGTCGGGGGTTTGCAGAAGTCTTTTGGATCTCGGGGGGCTCGAGGATTTCGAGGATTTCAGCTTAAAGGTCTCGGGCTTTAAGGTTCAAGTTCCGCGGGTTTCATCAGGAGGTGGAGTGTTACACAGTTTCACGCAGGGCCAAACTTTGAGTCAAGCACTACCCGACTCGGGTCTTATGCGTCTCTGCCTACCTTTGGCAAGCAATGCCAAGAGGATCTTTGATCGTGTTTCTTGTGAACCGACGAGTTGTCCTCTGTCCTTCGCCATAGTCAGGCGCTGTACTTCCCATGCCTCAGCCCCACTCGAACCTCTCCAGTCCTGGAGTCCGTACTCTTTCGCACTAAACCCTGACCCCTGAGCCAACCTACCTAGTCTCCATTGTAGTTTAGGATGGAGCGATCAGCGTGACCGGTACCATTCAAGACTGTCAATTCAGTGCCTGACTTCCCAACGTCCCGGACGAGCCTTGCTGGATCATAGCATATTGTAACACTTTTTAGTACGTATGTTCTAGTAGATTATAGTTTGTTATAGTTCACCATTGTAATATATGACACCTCAGCTCTTAGACTCAGCTTAAACTAAACTCGATCACCTAAATCAGTCTAAGCCCTAAACCCTGTAAGCCCTATAAACCCTAAACGGCCCTAAACCCTATAAACCCTAAACCTAAACCTTAAGCTTTAGCCCTAAACCCTATAAAACCCAGGCCCTGTAAGCCCTAAACCTTAAACCGGAAGAGTCACCCCAAGAGTATCAAAGCGGGTCTTTCAGGGACTCCCACCCTGTCGATCCACAGCCGGGACCTTGACCGATCGCTTTGGGGCAAGCCCTATAGGGATCTTAGGACTCATATGGGTGGTTGTCAAAATCAGGGTCCCTTTTTGGGTTCCTATCATCACACGGCACCTTATATTTAGGGTACCCAAAAAAAGGGACCCTAATTTTGACAACCACCCATGTATTAAGGCTTTTGGGCCCAAAGACCATACTAAATAAGGCTTTTGGGCTATTTGGATCCCTAGGGAAGCAGGGTAGCTCAAGCAGAGGGAGTGAAGATGCTACGTGCTACCATGATAGTCACACGCAGCCCGGAGGACAATTCCTCCCTAAACCGGAAATCCTGCTCCCCAACGAAGCATTGGGGTTGTCGCTCTTGAGGGGCGCCGGGTCTGCAGGTAAATCTAGACCTCGGGCTTTGGATCTGGCTTCCCCGTCACGTCACGGATCCCTTTGCGCATTTAAAGATCAAACTTTGAAAATTTAGACGTTATCGTATTTTGTTTGCTATTTTCGGTCAACCCGTCCAGGCCCGGTTGTGAAGGGAAGTTGCGGGATGTGTAAAGTGGAGGTGCAAGGTTGTTAACTGGGAAGTCTGTTTTGATGCGGTTCACCGCCTGTGGCATAGGCAATGAGACCTTGGGGGTCTGCTTTAGTGCATGAGGTGTCGGGGTGGGTTCGGGGCAAGGCATCCGCATGCAAAAGGAAAGCCCGCAATGACAACCACATCTGAGGGTCAAACTCCTTACCCATAGGCCCCGTAGTAGTTCCTTTCAATGAAGCCCCATAGTAGTATCTTTTTGTAACTATCCTATAGGATTCTAAGTATGGACCCCCCAAAAAGACCTACCATGGGGCCTATGGGTAAAGGCTGAAGCAGGCCCTGAGCTGCCCAAGCTTCGAGGCTCCAGTGCGAGATTTGTCCCTATGGGGGAGATGGCCAGTGGTACCGTGCTGCTGGAGGCGGTGGTTTTGGCAACTTCAGCCGCTGACGCAGGTTTAGGGTTTAGGGTTTAGGGAGGCGGTGGTTTGCTTACCTTTGGTTACTAGGGAATAGAGGAGTGGGGTATAATGATAACTACTATGACTACCATTCTTCCATTCCCTACAACCAAAGGTAAGTTTGTCGACTTCAGCCGCTCACGCAGGGCCGAGGTCTTTGTATTGTTGTCAGCATCATCCGAATCGTTTTTGCAAGTTCCACTGTTGTCAGTCTTAGGTATTTTGGCAGTAATAGAAGGGCTCTTGCTATCATGACGACGATAGGCACTAGCCGCAGCAATGTCGTGAAACTCATCATGGCCAGTATTGCTTGTCTACGTGTCTGCAATGCCCTCGAAGCACGCAGACGAACAAACTAACACATTTACTTCAGGGTCGGAACATGAGTAATATTGTCACCTTATATATATATATATATATATATATATTATATATATATATGTATAAAAAATCCCTATTGTAATTCCAGTACAGTCTTCCTCAAAAATCGAGTCTGATGATTACAGCCCACAGGAGTAACAGGGTTCGGGTCCAGGGGCTAATTCTTCATAGGGATCCTTAGGGGTGTAGGGGAGGATCCCTATGAATTCTTGGTTTCGGGTTTAGGGTTTATCATAGGGATCCTTAGGGGTGTAGGGGGGAGGGGTGTAGGGGACTATATTTCCTTAAATAGGCCTTATATTAGTCCTTATTATGGGCCTTAAGGCCCCCTACCCCCCCCCCCCCCCCGTCCCCCTACACCCCTAAGGATCCCTATGAGGGTTCGGGGTCCAGGGGCCAATTCTTGGTCATGGCTTCCCTGCCGGGTTCTCTGTTCGACTTCCTTGGACTATTGCTTCTGAGAACGGTTTAGAGGGTTTAAGGGTTTAGGGTTTAGTTTTTAGGGTTTAGGGTTTAGAGTTTAGGGTTTAGGGTTTAGGGTTTATGGTTTTGCTTCTGCATCCGACGAGCATGTTCCTCTGGCAGCAGGGGAACAGAGGTCTTAGTGTCCGAACTGTAGGTACAAACTACCATCTCAATCATCAGGCACGAGTCCATCCGACAGCATGGTGTGCTTTTTCTATGGCTATCTGATGCATCTACAACATGTGCTTTTGCTCCCCCCCATTCCAGCGATATGTAGGGTCATGATGTGGCATTTGTCATGATGTGGCATTTCTTTCCCCGCCCCCCCCCCCACCACACAGTAAGCAATAGACAGACGTCGAGATCATCGCCACTACGCGACCATTCTGGCCCTTTCTCCCTATGCCCTAAACCCTAAACCCTAAACCTGAACCCTAAACCCTTTATGAGTTCGGCGATCCCAAGGCTTCTTGGAGCTGCATGGGCCCCCCAGTGCATCCCGAGCCTCAAGCTGGGAACCCAGCCCTGCTCCTTCAATTCCTTAAGACCAATGAGCCCAAGTAGCCCCAAGCCCTGCTTGCATCGCTGAGACCCTCAAAGGTGAAACCCGAAATGGTAGTCTGGAGGCTGCTGGGCTAAAAGACGCGAGGCTTCAAAACAAAATCAGAAACCCGAAGTGCAGGGCGAGGACGGACCCTCTGGGGACGAGCAGGACGCGATCGGCCTGGACATCCTGGACGATCTCGGAAGCGAAGCAGAAAAGACTTCCATTTGCGAATGCACGGTTCGGATCTCAAGTAGGAAAAAGCATAGAAAGAGAGAGAGGGAGAGAGAGAGAGTTAGAGAGCGAGACAGATAGATAGATAGGTAGATAGAGAGATGGCTAGGTGTATCTCATTGAGGGTAGGGGCTTAAGGCGTCATTGTGGTCTTGAATAATACCACTCGTGAAGCAGCCTTAATAACTATTCCTAGGGCTTCTTAGCATACTTATTCACTTACTCCATAGAACGCTCCGAAACCCTGCTCTAATGAGAAAGGCTCCTATACTAACCCCACGCACGGTACTTACTTGCTCCCGCCCAAGTTTCGTGTTGTTGCCAGCCAGCTTCCCGAAGCCCCAGTCGCGGTTGTACAATCAGCTCGCACTGCATCCACCCTGCTGTATTACATGCATGTATTTTTGACCGCAAAGTTCTGTCAACATCTTTTCAGCCGGGGTTTTTGTGATGCTTGCCAATTCATAGACTTATTAGTGTTAGCGACTTTTTAAATTTGCATTGGTCTCAGCACGTCCATCTGCCTTTCGCTGCCTCGCAACCCTTTCTGCTCGGCCGGCTCTTGGCAGCTTTGTGGGACGGCGCCCTTTCTCCGTTGCATACACTCAGGCTGGAACATGCCAAAGCCTCTGTACGACCTGTTGGCATGCCTGGGCGCTGCTGCTAACTAGAGTCCCTTTAACTTCATAAAGGCAAAGCGTCTGCACAATAGTTGGGGTTCTCTTCTTCTGGAGTGCTGACAGTCTTCCCCAATGAGTTGAAAAATCGCAAAGGAGCCGTCAGAGTGCTACATTCTTGATTTCTTGTGTTAGATGTATAGCAGTATCAGATACCAGAAAACTGTTCTCATTGTCCTCATGCAGCACATGTACAGACGTGCCCTCTCCTAACTTACTGTACACGACCAGGACACTGGTAAGAACCACGTGTGTGCGACATAAGCAGAGAAGCTTTCAATTTCGAAATCCTCAACCCTGCCCTAAAACCGTAAGCATGAAGGGATGATAGCCACCAGCCCAGCTGTCGGAAGGACTCAGCATGGCTCTGTGGAAAGTCACCAGCGCTATCGCCCGCAGGGAGGCGGTCCCGAGTCGTTCGAAGAAGAGACTGCAATACAATAGGGGCATAATTGCCAATACCATTTTGAGGGGTGAAGTATAACGGGCCCCACAACCCTATTCTAATAAGTAAGGCCCCTATAGTAGGATTTAGGGCTTGCTTATGGGTTTTTGGCTTTTTAAGCTCAAAAGAATTTAGGGCTCATAGGGTTTATTTAGGGTCTCTACTCCTAAACCCTCACACCCCAAAAACCCCAAGTAATCCCTGAGAGGCATGCCCTCGCTTCGCCCGTGCCTTCTCGGCGGGGCTGAAGCGAACGCTGACCTACGAGGAGCGGTTGCTCCAATGGGCCTTTGTCCGCAACTTCGTGCAGCAAGAACCGACATTTGCTTGCCCGCGGGTCTATCTTTATGTACCATCTTGTATCATAAACGAAGGCCCGACGAGTGGTTTTCAGAAGTCCCGATCGGATCCGCGAGGAGCACATCAAGGAAGGCGGGAAGATGGTCGACTTCGCAGGCCGAAGAAAGGGTTAGAATGTCACTTGCGGGGGAGTTGAGAGTTTCGGAAGGACGGTGCAGATAGAGGGCTCTACAGGTATAGGGTTGAGGGTTTCGGTGATTACGGGCTGGGGGGGAGTTTGAAGTGAAGAGTGGAGGTTTTGCAGGGTGACAGAGGAGTTAGGCTTCTAAATTTAGGGCCAGGGTTGTCCAGGGTTCAATGTGGACGGTGTATGTTTGTTTTCGGAAGAAGGGCCGCAACAGATCGCTCCAAGCTGCAAGACCGTTAGCCTGTGACCATCACTTAATGCATTCATTGTTTATGCAGCATGTAGGGTGTTGGGCTGTGAAGTATAGTTGTTCGCGTTGACACAGAATCGGGTTTTGCAGGCTTCGGTTGGTCGGGGTCTCGCTGCTCCTGAAACTGTTTCAGCAGCCTTCGTTCGTTGATGTTGAGGGGATGCACTTAAAATAGTTTATATAATATGTTATGATACTACTTCGGGGGCTCAGAGGCTCCGTGAGATACGAGCAAGCTGAACGATACAAGTCCTGGTCAGTCAGTTGGCGACCGCTGTGAGTTTCAAGAGCTCTTCGTGCTGTGCAGGCTATGCCATGCCGGTTCAGTACGAAGCCAAGGGCAGCAAGCATGCCCTGAGCATCATTGACTCCACCAAGTGGACAAGACTCTCAGCTGCAGCCGCACTCTGTCCGGAAACAGGCTAGGATTCTCTGATGTTACTACGCACTGCTGACGGAGCCGGTTAAGGTAACGTAGCTCACTTTCGACGGCATCGGAACCCAACATTCCACACCATCGCGAAAGCAAATACCCCGAAACCTCTGGAGTGACTCTGCCATGTTGCCCAAAGGAGAGAGCGCTTCTCTCTTCGATGTCAGCCACATGTGTAGCATCAGGTGGCTTGTCTCGACGGGCCGAAGCACTTTAAATTTGGTTTTTTCTTGCAAAGTTCGTTGTAGTATTGTATACTCAAATAGGGCAACATCGCATCAAGAGGAGGCTATTCCGAAGGCATTTTATTCGGGGTAGTGTTTTTGGAGTTTCGGTGGAGGGTTTCCGGTGTACTTCAGGGTGCTGGTTTTCGAGCAAAAGAGCCTGGATCTGTGCGTTTGGAGATTGAGGCATCTTGTTTGGGGCTCGCAATGTATACTGCGGATAGATCCGGTAGGGCCCCTCGCCATAGAACCTGAATATCTGGAATCTAGTCATGATCAGCGCAAACCCCCAGAGCCCTGCGCCAGGGCGGGCGCTGATTGAGTAATATGGCACCCTGGATACTTAGCAATACCAATTTTGATCTTGATGGTATACGTCGTATATCATAATTATACGGAGAAGCTCCAGAATAGTATTGCTAACTATTCAGTAGTATACGATCCCTTAAAACCCAAGCATTAATGCCCCGTGCCTCCAAGCAAGAAGTCGCTGGTGTTTGCTCCCAACAGCGTGGACCTTTCACCGCCCTACTCTATATAGACCCTAACCGTCAACCCACGGCAGCACCAGTACCCCAAACCAAAGACGAAGACCCTCGAAAGACAAAGCAAGACGACCTCCGAAGTTCTCTGTATCACGAACCTACTGCTGTCTTTCATCGCTTCTTTGGGCTTGCGGTTTAGGGTTTAGGGGCTAAGCCTGCAACCACCCCCCTTCCGACGCTTTAAGCACCCCCCGCCTCCGCCCCCGCATTTATTGACCGTATATCCCAAATTTGCAGACCCCCGTTTGGGGGAAGTTTTGAGTTCAGTGAAGGCCCTGGAACCCTTAAACCCTACACCCCAAACTCTTTTTGAGGTGGACCGGTAAGGATGCCTTTGACTTCGTTGAGCGCGTGACCACCGCCGACGTTTACGGACCCCTTCTCTATTCCTGCGAGGGTGGGTGTTGGGTCCAAGGTTTAAGGGTTGAGGATTCAAGATGCAACCTTGAGTTCAGCGTTGTAAGGTTGAGGTTTGCGACTGAAAGTGCTTCGATGCCTTGGTTTCAAACCGGGCCCAAGACGATGTAAAGGACTGCCACCCATGACGGGGGGTCTCAGCGTTATCACCAACGAGCGGGGCGGCGTGATTGATGACACCTTGGCCGCAACCTCACGGAATTCCATAATTTCTGGAGCTCCTCACGGGTTACAAAGCTGGATGGAAAGAGCATAAAGAGTCACAGTTGAGCTGGAAGGGCACACGTGATTTGGTTGGAACCCTGCATTGGTCGTTATTCGCGGTCCCCGCACTGCGCTCGCACATTCTTGAAAGACTTGCAAGCTTTATGCTCTACACCTGGGATTCGTATTCCATAATGCCATAGCATGGCATAATCATGAGCCTAGGACACTAACCAATTCCTTCTTCTTTCGACCTCGGAAAGTTTGAGCCCAACCGCATCTGATACATTGCCCGAGACGTAGAAATCCCTGTGAGTGGTTGCCATGCAGGTGACGAAGTGCCACTCGAAGGAGCATGGTGAGCACGTTTATCAGGCCTGTCCTACTCGGGCCTTGTAGCATGCGTTGTCAGGCCACCTAGGGCAGCTCGCGTAGTTCGACGGCATCAGGAGCAGTTCTGCTTTTGTGGAGCATGGGGCCTTTAACATAGAGGCCTTGATAATTAGATTAGGGTTTGGGGAGTATATTATGCTATAGTCATAATCAGGAACCCCCAAAATAGCACAGTATAGGTATTAAGGCCCCAATATTAGCCCTATCAAGCTTGACACAGAGTCCGACATCCTGTATGGAACCCCAAAGCCCTAAACTCTTAGGGGTACTTAGAAATATTTTTTTAACTTTTGCTAAGGCTCTAAGTTCAGTATAGAACTCTATAGCCCTAAAACCCTAAAACTCTTAACCCAAAACGCAGGTCGTGAACGCCGGTTGCGCTACCAAAGACCTGAAGCACTTCGAGGAGCAGTTGGGGAAATTTGGTGGCGACGTGAAGATGGAGGTTGGGTTCTCAGGTTTGGGGTTTAGGGTTCAGGGCTTGGGGCTTTAGAGTCTTAGGGTTTAGGGTTTGAGGGCACTGTCCGGTCCTTGAATTGCTGAAGGATTTGAACCCTCAGCTGTAGTTATCTAGAGCCCTTAAACTCCCCCAAAGCCCTACGCTTCACGGCGGCAAGCCCCAGAATACGGACGGCCTGAAAAATCCTTCTGGCCACCCTCAACATCCAGGCGTGTCCCTTGAAGAAAATGCATACCAGACCCAAACGGTTTGGGACATAGCTACAAACGGAACTGATGTAGAAGCCAGAAAGGCAGTATGAATATGCACTTCTTGCTATCTTGCTCCTGCATAAGATATAAGTACTCAGGTTTTCACTCCCCGCGCACCCCCCCTCTTTAGGGGTTTAGGATTTAGGATTTAGGGTTTAGGGTTTAGGGTTTAGGATTTAGGGTTTCTTTCGAAGGTGATGTGGGACAACCGTGGCCTCTTCGCCATCCAGGGGCCCAAGGCCATGGAGGCCCCCTTTGAAGTTGGAAAGATCGAGGGTTTAGGGTTTAGGATTTAGGGTTTAGGGTTTAGGATTTAGGGTTTAGGGTTTAGGATTTAGGGTTTAGGGTTTAGGGGTTAGGGTTTAGGGTTTAGGGGTTAGGGTTTAGGGCTTGCGTTTGGGCTTGCATAGGCATAGTGCTACCCCTCTACATGTCGAAGCGACTGTCCAGCTGCACGCATGCCGAGCCCACAACGTGCGAAGTTGAGCGCCTGCAGGTGAGGCAGGTCACCTGCACCTAAACCCCCCAAAGTAGGTAAAAATATGGCCCAATATCTACAAAAGGCCATGATTCTACATACTTTGGGGGTTCAGGCAGTCAGAAAAACCCATCCACCCCGATGCTCTCAATGTTTTTGACCCTGAACGAGCAGGCCGGTGAGCCTTCAGCCCAAGTTGTCAAACCTCGCTCTTGAACATCCCACACTTGGAGGTTCATGGGTAGTTCTAAGTAGGGCTATAAGTAGGATAACTATATAATTAGAGCCTATGTTAGGGGACTTATAAGCCCACCTATAGCAACCCGTGAACCTCCAAGTAGATCCTAAACCCTATACCATTATAGAATCCCTATAGATCCCTTTAAAGGGACCCTTAAAGAAACCCGTATAACTAGCCATGAAGATCCAACAGGTGATGCAGCGCCTGAGCCCATCTACGGATCTGAAGGCCGTGCCCTTCGGCGAGTGCTTCTGGGCCAAGCTCGAAGGTGCGGAAGTGGGTTTCTGGAGTACCCAAACCCCCCAAAGTAGGTAAAAGAATGGCCCAATACCTATAAAAGGCCATTGGTCTACATACTTTGGGGGTCCAGGTAAACCCTAAACCTTAAAACGGCCTTCAAGTTTTCATTTTGCCCTAAAAAGAGCCCCAGTGACCTGAATAGTAGGTTACTAACCATATACAACTGGAGCCCTAGGGTTGCACAGAGAAGAGCGATGCGCCGAAGTGCGCAGCCAAAGCGTGTCGTAACCTCCCGGAGGTTTAACCCCAAACATCCAAGGACCAAGGACTTATAGTAGAAGCCAGAAAGTTGGAATATGATTATCCTAAACCCTTTATGGTAAGTTATAGGATATCCTACCCTGAAACCATATTCCAACTTTCTGGAGTTCCCTTTATAGGGCTCCTTGCCAGGTGCCGAGTGCCTCGTTTCGAGGCGCCGAACTCCTGCGTTTCGGGGCTTAGGGTTTCAAGGTTAGGAGTTTTAAGGGCTTCCGGACATCGGTCCCTTTTTTTTTTTTTTAATCTTAAGCCCTCTTCAAGCGTGCTCCGGTTCTAAATCCCAGACTTTATCCCGGAACGATCTTGTGAGATGGCGGTGGGTAGCGAAGACACCGAGAAACTACCTGAGTCGTCCAGGGATCAGGGTCATGGGGTAAGGTGTGTATGGGCTTAGAGTAAGGGTTTGTAGTTTACGGATGTCATGCTGGATGTCATGTATTTGCAAGACTCTCATGAAGACTGGCTAGATAGTTTTGTGCCTTGCTTCCAGGAGTCAAGAGCTATATAGGCTACAGGCTCATGTTAGGTACAGTGCTTTCCGTGCGTCAAGCATAGGCCGTGGATCCTAAGCCCACAATGACATTTGCCAAGCTGAAGGTTGAAATTTCACTGCTTGTCCTTACAGGGCCCCGAGAGACATAAAGCGCATCGAAGTCGTGTGTGCAAGGTGTGGGTACACCGGCGAGGATGGCTTTGAGGCACGTCCGACTCTAAGTGTTTTTTGGAGGGGGGGCGCGGATGCCGGTATGTCGGGTCGTGGTGGTGGGAATTCAGATGTTCGGGATAATAGCTGCAACCAGAAATGTTTCACTGCTCCAACGATGAGACCTCTGATCATCTGTTCAGACAGCTCTTGAGCGACTGATGGGTGGAAGAAGGCGCAGGGGAGCAGGGTTTCTGGGATACGCAGCGACGAAAGTTTGATAAGAAATGGTCGAAAGCATGTTGCCGTAATGTGGAGGTCGGAGTAGTCGGTAATATTATCCGGTTGTATTGTAATGATACTACAATCTAGCTCCAAAGCCCCTTGTTGATTCGTCAGGCCCCAACATTTTGCAACACCTTCTAAGCTGGCAGATCTTCGTCCCGGGCGATGCGGCCGTCGCCGTGCAGGGGCCAAGCACTGTCGATCGGAGGGGATAGGGCAAACAAAGAAACCTGAACCTCCGTCTCCAGAAGTGGCTTGGGACGAACGCAGAAGTCTTGCCTTCGGCACAGCATCTCATGTTCCATTTCAGAGCCCCGCCGCACTTAACAACTCCATAGAAGTGCCGTATTTCAGCTCATTCGCAGCCAAGACTCCAGCTTGGCTTGACCGTGAACCCTTATCCCAAGGCCCCTGCACACGCACACGCACACGCACACGCACACGAAGACTACAGCTTGCCTCGACCTTGAAACTTTATCTAAAGGCCCTAAACCCTAAACCCCCCTAAACTGTATTCACCCGAAAACCCCAAACCCGAAACCCTAAACCCTTATCCCAAGGCCCTTGCAACAAGTCCCTGAGGTGTGGCAACTCCTCTCCTCGCAGTCGGAGGTCCGGCTCGCAGCGCGGCTCCTGGCACGCTTGGCTCTCGCTCCTTCCAAGAGACTCCAGTATCCCTTATAATTAAGGAATATACCTTAAATTATATGAGGAATCCTACTATAGTTTAAGGTATTCCTTATAATTAAGGGGTATTGGAGTCTCTGGGTGTACCGAAGCCCGTTGCCAGAGTCCCGGGCTTCAGCTTAGGAGCGTAAATGTGCAGAATCAGAAGCCCTTGAGAGTGCAACTGTTCCAAAACCTTAAACCCTGAACCCTATAAAGCCTGAGCCCTAAAGCCTAAACCCTAAACCCTGAACCCCTAAAAAGCACCTGTTTCGACCATCCCGGACGTTGTTTTGGGCTGACAGGAGTTTGCATATTTAGCAACAGATTTCACCAGGCCACAGCATCCGCCCTTGCTGGCTTGCTGGTCCTGTTTCCGTGTTTGTACAGTGCAGGTGCCGCCGCACCAAATCAATCTCCATCTCCGCAGATCTGCAAAGCCAGTAGATAGTTGACAGTACAGCACATGGGCGATGCTGAGCTGAACAAGGGCAGTCCGTGCTCCGGCTCTGCTTCGCAAGTGCAATCAAAAAGGCCTTCGCGGTTCCAGATCGTGAAGCCCGTGCTTACAGCCGTGACGGTCTTCTGTTGGTTGCAAACTTGGTGGTCCATGTACGAGAATGCAACTGCTCTCAAGTTTGGAGCCGTCTATGACAATAAGTTTGCAATTCCCTTAGTGATCTTAGTTTTCGGTCTCGTGGCCACGAACATACTTGGCTTTTTGAACTTCTACAGCGAAGGGCAGTTCAAGGCGGCCTGCGCGGCATTGGTGGACCTCGATATGGTGTACTTGCTGGTGACCGAAGGGGCCGAGATTCTGCAGGGTGGCACAGTGCCCTAGTGGGATCGCCTGTTGATGAGAAATGCAGTTTGGCGATCTTTGCCTCTGGCATGCATCAACATGTTCCTCGTCACGAGAAGCTACGCTACCGAGATACCAGTTTGCCAGATGACACTTTTCCCCTCAATGCTTGTTGCAGCATTGCGAGGCCCAAATCACGTGCCAGGACTGGTCGAAGAGTCATTGAGGAAGGTCAGAGTCTGGGAAGGCAGTCACACAGTGAATTATGCAAGGGAGGCATTCATGCAGATGAAGACGGATAAGCAAGCAGCGTGTTTCTTCAAGAGGGAGGAAACGATCGAGGCCTTAAAATTGAGGCCGAGAAAGTTGGAGCAGGTTTGTGGCTCAGCTGCCATTGTGGTGAGTCACAGTGGCACTTGTCCAAAGGTTTCCGATCCCGTATGCTGCAACACTACTGGAGGATGAGGGCATTCGTGGGATGTCTGGTCTTTTGGGATCAGCCGGCTCCGGCAATTTGACGGCCTTAAACCTCTTCTTCTCAGAGATCCTTAGGGCGAAACTGGCCTCCAACCAGGAAGTGATCACACAGTTTCGCAGACTACTAAAGGACTCCGACATACGGGGAACCTTCGTCTTCAGAATGATGACCTATGTCTACTCTTACAGATCCACGGTGGATACGGTGATCACTGAGGTCGCCAAGAAGCATTACTCAGAGAAAGTGGTTGTAAGCGAAATATATCAGGCAAGACCCGGCCTTCGTTGGATGCTTCTGACAACCATGGTGGTTCTGCTGAATGCAACCCGATCTGCAGCAACATCAGTTTGTAAAGCGACACATCTACAAACCGCAGTGGCCTGGTCAGCAGTGATGCTGCATGCAGCCCTTGACACCTTGATGCTAGTCGCAATGTTTACTGTGCTGTACATGCGATTGGAAGAGCAAGCGGCTGGTAGGCTTTTTGATGCCATTGCGAGAACAGCTGAAGACGCATTAGTCATCATGCTGACGCGTCTGGACAGCGAGGATGTGCTTTTGGACGATGGCACGGTCGTGGCCCGGGCTGGGCCAGAACTGCTGAAAACATGGTTTCCGCTTGCGCAAGACTTGCACGAGAACGTCGTACCAGCCGTAGGGGTAAGCTCTTACGAGTTTGCCAAGCTGCTTGCTGGCGCCTTCCTCTTTGTTGGTACCTCGCTCATGCTGTTCAGTGCCTTGCTACCGGCAAAGTTAAAGAAGCCAGTTCCTGTGAGTGCCATACTCGATGCAGCCCTGGTAGGGCCACTGCGTTTGCTGGTAGACGCCACGCAGGTGGACATCGGAAAGCTTGCGTGGCGGTTGTGGGTGCTTGTAGTTTTGCGGGGGCTTCTGTGCAGCCTGCTTTGGTGGATCATGCGGGACATTGTGTTTGACGAGCATTATGTGAACTACGGCTATGCGTCTGCCTTTAACGACACTCCGAAAAGCTACGCCCTCTCCCATGCGTTTTGGGTTCTGGCGCTCTTTCACCTCGCCTCCGGCCTCGCAGCAAGCGCATTCGTTCTCCGTGAACATCGGGCTCGCGAAGATGAGCCGGCAGTGCCTCGGCTTTCACGACACAGCAGCGAGTATGTAGGGAGCTGCGCTAGGCAATTCATTGAGTACAGGTTGCTGTAGAGGTTCGTGCGAAAGTGGACTGCTGCCCTGCATACAAGGCTGGAAAGTTTGGCTCGCCAAGGCCGGATCTTAGCCGGCCCTTCAGCCGCTGGCACCCGCACGGGGCGACGGAGCTTCCGTTGACGGCGCAGCGCGAGCTGAGCCGACCTGCGGGATTGATTTAAGCAGCGTCAAAACTCGCACCAGCTCAGTGCTGGCACCACACCGTCTGCGGTGTTCGGGGGCCGCTGCCAGGGCAACCTACTTCTGGAATCCATTTGCAAAGCCGCGAATCGAAAACATGACTGGGTTTCTCAGTTTTCGCCCATGCGTCCCTGATGGAAAGCTTCGTGTCATGGATTCTCCGAGAGTGTCGTTTCAAGGAACAGGCCAGAATTTGCCAGGCTCGGTGCGCGAGATGCACTCCGACTGGAGGCAGGCCTTTGCCTCTATGGCTCGGGACCTGGTCCAGTGATATTGGAGGGATCTAATCAAATAATCCCTGGTTCGTAACAATGGGTTCTTCGCTAAAGGTTGGAAATGATTTTGCTTCTCAGGTTTCCTGGTTGTCTTCATCGATTCGGAGCTTGTCGCTTACTCTGCTTTTGGATACCAAGAGCAGTCCCTACTCTTCGCCCAGAGCGTCGCCCAAACCGGTAGTTCTGCCCGCAGCATTGCGAATCCGAATACGAACATGAAGTGAAGCACCAGTCAGCGCTCCTACTACGAATGATTGTCACGGACATGAGGTTTGGACTGCATAGGTCAAGTTCATCCCAAAGCCATCATCAGTAGATTTCTCATAATCTTCCTGGGTCCTCCTCCTCGCTATTCTCTTCTGCTTCATTTCATCATCGTTGTTGCCATCACCATCTTCATCATCACCAGTAGCATCATCCGCGTCAACATGGCCATGACGATAACGACGGCGATGATGATGATGATGTTGATGATGATGATGATGATGATGATGATGATGATGATGATGATGATGCTTCATCATCGAACCATCGAATCATCATCATCGTCATCATCATCATCACCATCATCATCATCCGCAACAGCAGCAGCACCATCATCACCACCATCAAACAACATCAGCATCAGCATCATGATCACCTTCACCATCAGCACTTCCGTCAGAATTGCGATCTGCCACTGCCACCAAACTTCCGGTCACTATCACCGGTACCATTGCCATCACCACCAACATTACGGGCACCGTCACGAGCACCATCACAAAACACATACGACCATGTTCATCAGCTTGACCGTCATCTGTCGCATACCAAGCTCCCTCGTCATCATCATAATACTGATAATCAAAGTCATCATCATCATCTGCATCACCCTGGTCATCCTCATCCCCGTCGTTGTCGTGGTTTCGAATTATCGCTGTCTACAGACCAGACTAGACCAGCACTAGCAAGCTGGAACTGACAAGTACTGAGCTCCTACTGCTGTGTGTCCAAGTTCCCAGGTCACGAGCTGGATGAGGACAGCGGCCCAGAGCAAGGCAGGACGCTTGTGCTCTTGGTGCCAGGGGGCCTGTGCAGGACACCACCCCCAGCGAGGCCGGCCTCAGTGCCCTCCCAAGACAGGTCGGAAGTCTTGCAGTTTTGGGGTTTACAGTACGGTTCAGGGTTAAGTGTGAAGCTTCGAGCACGACATCAGGGGCAACAGGCCAGCAAGCACAGCAACATCCACATCCGGGCTTACAACAAGCCTGACATTAAGACTCATCAGTACGAATTATCCACTGCATGGACGGCAACGTGACAGCAGAGAAAATGCGAACAGCGTGGAAGCATCTGTGCCACCATTGCTGATTAGCATGCGGGTAGTTGTCAAAATTAGGGTCCTTTTTTGGTCCCTATTAGAATACGGCACCTAATATTTAGGGTACCCCAAGCCCTAAACCCTAAACCCATTTAGGGCACCCAAAAAGGGACCCTAATTTTGACAACTACCCATGTGGATAAACAGCCAAGGCTGGGTCGTTCCTAAAGCGAGACGTGATGGAGCCAAGAACAAGTTTCTGGGCAGCCACGGCCTCAGCATACTGTAGGGGCCTTAATAATTAGAACAGGGTTTTGGGGCCCATTATACTATAACAGTAATATGGAACCCCCAGAACAGCATTGGTAATTATTTAGGCCCCTAGATTAAGTGAAAATCCGACCTCGTCTTCTGTAATGTTGGCGTCAGTCTAGCAAACATGCAGAGAACCGAAGTTTTACAGGCGACGTAGTCCTGGGCCAGCTGGCGGACAAGAGCAAGTACACCAGGCCTGACCGCCTGTTCCGGTCTGCGAGCTCCATTATCTCGGCATGTCGGCGAAGGGGTTTTCGCGATGAGTATGTGCCCCTTTCACTCTATCTTGAATCCAGTGCAACCCGGGTTGCTGCAACCATAAACTCCTAAACCTACTGGTATGAACCTTCCGGCTAAGACAGCTAAGATCCTTGACATGTCCATATGGGTAGTTCTCTAAATTAGAACACCCCATTTAGATCCCCAATATAGTATGCCACCTATTTATAACAAGGACCCCCAAAGGGATCCTAATTTAAAGAACTACCTTAACCTACCAAACCCTACTTTTTTGTAGGGTCCCTATAAATCCCATATTAGGGCTTATAATAAGAACCCACAAAAAAGTAGGGTTTTGTAGGTTAGGCTGCCCATACAAGGCCCTCGACTTCTCTCGCACTGCAGGCTCAGGGCTGGGCTGATGCCGGCCTCGGGGCCCCCAGCTCGAGAGGGTGCGGACATCGAGACGCCGGACGGCCAGGTGGTGGGCAAGGCCGGAGAGATGTTGGGGGTTTATCGGGGGTTTAGGGTTAAGGGTGGCATTCAAATCCAGGTCTCAAGCACTAAAATGCCCCAATCGCGAGCACCTCACCACCTTGCACTGTCTGGGCCTTCGAATCCCTATGGGCTGGAGGATGTGAAAATGCATGGGTCACGTCCTGCGGCGCGCAGATGATGCCTTGTTTTCAGCTGCTGCTTCGACTCAGGATGAGCTCGGGGGTGAACGGTTGAGTTTGCACCGGGCAACCACTACAGTTCAAGCACAACCGTCTTCCGACAATATGGCTCAGCTTGAAAAGACAGCACCCTAAACCCCAACTCCCAAAATAAGAGCCAACATCTGTCATCCGCAGGTGACCAGCGGAAGCATGTCCCCTTGCCTGAAGAAGAACATCTCCATAGGTTCGGGCCTCAGGCCATGCCGAAGAGCCCAGGCTGGCTTCTGTGTCTACGTGTCTATGCGTGTGCGACATGTGTGTGTGTGTGTGTGTGTGTGTGTGTGTGTGTGTGTGTGTGTGTGTGTGTGTGTGTCTGTGTGTGCGTGTTTGTACTTATGCATGTGTATGCATATATGCATGTCTGTCTGTCTGTCTTTTTGCTTGCTTGTTTGTATCAGAACAACTAGTTAATTGCTCGGAGTTCTGTCGCATGGAGACGAGTTTCCTGGAGAGCGTCTAGAGCCTAGAGGTGTCTGGGTCGTCTGATCTAACCGCGTGGAGCAGCTGTGCAAACCCTGCACAAAGCAGAAGCGACTCCTGATTCTCTTAAGGGTTTGACTGCACTGTTATACAGTATAGTCAGTTATCAATGACACATTTGTTGCTTACTTATCGTTGCGTTCCACTAATCAGTATTCCTGCTGCTTGAGCCCTCACGCCGACTCTGAGCCGGAACGATGACCGGAAATTCATGCTTGCGTAAAGCATGGGCTTAGGTGCACAGATTTAAACCCCAGGAGGGTTTTCAACACATCCCGCCCACATTTGGCGAGATGCACTCGCACAAGCCTCATCCCCACCACTCTCGTGCTTGCAGGCTCTGCCCGAACCTCGAATGACTCAATCCGCCCACACAACCCTCAACTCTCAACCCAACAGCCCCAAAAACTCGGAGGCCCTAGGTAATGAATTCAAGCTTTGAGCTTCAAGGTTGCAAGTCCCAAGCCTCAAACCTCTAGGCACTTTAGGCGCCGAAGCGCTGAACTTGCATTCTCCAACACCTTACCAACCCCAAGGCCCAATCCCTAGGCCCCCCAAACCCCCGAAGAGCACCAAAGCTCTAAGAGGGGGAGGGGGCGGGGGGCGCGTTGCAGAGTCTCCGGGAAGTTGAGATCAGCATGAGGGTTCCTTAAAGAGCTCTACGGTAGGAAGCACAGCTGTTTCACATGTTTGCACACGAATGCCCGATCAATGCGCATCCTGAAACGCTCTCGGAACCTAAACCTCCTAAACCCCATACCTCTGCAGCCTAGAACCTAGAACCCCTAAACCCCATACCTCTACAGCCTAGAACCCACACCCCCTAAACCCCAAACCTCACCCCACAACAACCGAAACTCAGGTTACATCAACAAGCCCCACAACAAGCAGGGCACCGACCTACAGGCTGAATTCGAGGGGTCTCAGAGTTCATATAAATGAAAATACGGTTGATGATATAAGTCCTGCATGACCTTAAGGACCCTAAACTAAGGGAATTATGGTACATTCCTCATTATGGGTATCATCAGCAGTAGTAATAGAAGTTACAGGGACAAGCAGCAACAATGGTAATAATAATACTGCCCAGCGAGAAAGCAAGTTTGCTTTATGAGTATCAGGGGCCTAGATTTAGGGCTTCGGGATTGGAGTTTATGCGGGCTCAGGTTGCGAAAGCAGCAATCAACTTCCTGACACAGTGGTACCTACTTGGTGGAATATGTGGTCGGAGATTGATTGAGTTTTCAATGAATGACCAGGATTCTTTCCAAGATACTGTCCTTGAGTACAGGGTGCTACCATCCGTCCCGTTTGCAGACATCTGGAGAGAAGTGAACTTGAGCCGACAATACTGTGTGCGCGTCGGTTACATGCACTTATACATGCATGATTACCTACATGAGTACATACACATATTGTCACATGCCGACATGCATGCAAACATCTGAGCCCTCGACGGTCGAATCTGGCCAGTATCGGATCTCTGGGCTGGGAAAGGTCGTGGTCCGCGGCAAGAAATACCCGGCGAAGGCGCGACAGACTAGATGTGAACATGCGAGGTCCGGTTGCCGCACCCCTACACCTTCGGCCCAGGTAACCAAGATGCCCTTCGTTCCCACCAAGTACTACAAGCCGTGACCAAGGTTCTGAGCAAGCTGACCGGGGTGAATCCGAATCCAGGGATATCCTCCTTCCTTGGGTTTATGAAAGTCTTACTTACCACCTACTACTACTACTACTACTACTACTACTACTACTACTACTACTACTACTACTACTACTACTACTACTACTACTACTACTACTGGTATTATTGTTATTATTCTATTATTTTCATTAGCTCTAAATCGCCTTCCCAGCCTTCGGCACCCAGGTCCAAATCCCACTCGACGCAGCGTCTCACCCCGAAGTTCTGCGGCCGTTGGCTGACATGTCTTGCACAGGGACACCTGGGCGACCAAAGGAGTTGCAAACAAAACAAGTTGCATACACGGCCTGGTCATGTTGGGTATGTGTAAGCAGGTCTAATTACTTATGTATGCACTGTATGTGTTTTATGCATGTAGACAGGTACGTGGGCATGCACGTATATGTATGTGTTCATGTATGTACATACCTCGCGAGGAATGCATGGGTGGATGGACGGCTGCATGGATGTGTGTATGTATGTATGTACGTATGTATGTATGCTTGTACGTACGCACGCACGCACGCATGCATGCATGTGCATGGAAGGATGCATGGATGGCGGCAGGGAGGGATGGATGAATGAATGGATGGGTGTGTGTGTGTGTGTGTGTGTGTGTGTGTGTGTGTGTGTGTGTGTGTGTGTGTGTGTGGTGTGTGTGTGTGTGTGGTGTGCGTGTGTGCGTGTGCGTGTGCATGTGTGTGTGTGCATGTGTGTGTGTGTGTGTGTTTGCTTGTGTGATGCTGCTGGCATGCACGTATGCATACGTTTTCATATGTTTCTTGTTCAGTATGTATGCGTGCGTAATATGTATACTTGTATCTATGATATTGTATACCTATATTTCAGTAGGCATGAAGTATGTGGGGGTTCATGCATATCGGAAGCTACACACTCAGAGGCAAAGGTGTGCGTACATACATAAACTGAAGCATACACACACACACACACGCACACACATCTCCAAGAGTGTGTGTTCTTGCGTATGACTCATGATCAGCACAGTCATGCATTTACCCTTGCGTACTCTCTTCCGCTGAGCCACTGAACAAGAACAAGGCAGCTACTTGCTTGCTTCACAACTTTCGTGTTGACTTGTGCAGAATGGCGTAATCATATGCTGACTGACCGATTTGCACTCGCTTTCACATGCATATGGTTTTACTAATATTGTTATTACTATTATTATTATTTCTACTACTACTACTACTACTACTACTACTACTACTACGACTACTACTACCACTACTACTACTGCTACTACTACTACTACTACTACTACTACTACTACTACTACGACTACTACTACTACTACTACTACTACTACTACTACTACTACTACTACTACTACTACTACTACTACTACTACTACTACTACTACTACTACTACTACTACTACTGGTATTATTGTTATTATTCTATTATTTTCATTATTGGCTTCGCTGCTTTTGTTCACCCAAGGTTCCTGTGCTCTTGAAGTGTAGGAGCAACGGTTTTGTGATTCTCACATCGGTGCGCAGATTGGACTTCCCGCGTTTGGGGCCAAGCAATCATAGCCACAGCAGAGTCAGCCGACATGGAACAGTGGAGTAGAGTAGAATAGAGCGCAGTTTCGTATAGTGTTATCTTAGCAGCATGAGATAGTATAGTTTAGTATATGGTAATGTCGCCATCGCTGGTTTTGACAGATCTCGGCCTTAAGCTTGGCAGGCGGTCCTGCGCGTGCATCCGTCGGTATCCATCTAAGAATCTATGTAGGGTCTTTAGATCCCTTCGATCTCTTGGATATCGAGCAGCTAGGGCTGCAATTTTCACGGCGACCGGTAGCAAAATGGCTGATGTTTCTGTCCACGCGCTGCCGGGGATTTACCAACTTGCGAGCTTCTGAGCACTGAGCGCGCGTTCTCGAGCGAAAGCTTCTGCCTGCATGACATAGTGAGAAGCCTGTCGCTCCTATGGCTCAGGTGAGGCCCTTTAGCCACGCCCATGGTATGGAACATCCTGTGCAGCGCATTAGGCAACGTTAGTAATGCGATGTGAGTGCACGAAGTTTCCAGTCATCAGAACATATAGAGTACGTGCCAAGTAGAGCATACAACGGGTCGGTCGAAAGTTGGAAGAGCAGCATCGTGGTGCGCCGCTGACAAGGCATGCAGATGCCAGGCGGGCCTGCGGCCGCGGGAATGTAAGTTTGTAAACCTTCGTCGGATTACAAGTCACGTGCCATATCCAGCAGATTTCAGCAGTCTGTGCAGTCTTCTTCAGACGTCGCATTCTTGGTGATGCCAGCTGGCTCAAGTCGAGCAACAGATCACGCGGACAACTGGTGACCCGACACCCCTGATCCCACACGCCAGGCCCAAAGGCCCCAAGAATTGAAAGCTCAATTCAGCCTCGGAACTTAATATAAGGGCCTTAATAATTGGAATAGGGTTGTGGGGCCCATTGTACTAATAACTATAATATAAGGAACCCCCAAAATAGTATAAACAAATTTTTAAGGCCCCTACAGTATAATCCTGAAATTCAAGCTGCATGCTCGTGGGTAAACCTTGTCAGTTCCGGCTTCGCAAGGCCACTTAGCAAGGCAACAAGCTTTGCCCCATTTGCGGGGTTTGTGGCGAACGAAGCCAGGAGGATCGCGCTGTGGCGAGGCACGACGGCACTACACTAAACACGAAACCGCTCCGAAGTGTTTCTTCGGACAAGCAAGGGATGGGTTTCGGGCTTAGTGAGATGCCCACTGCCTGAGCCCCAACTCTGAACTTGACGAAGGGAGACCCACCCTTGCGGCCATGAAAGCCGGCATAGCTGAACAGACAGTACGCTCCCCTCCCCAGGACTTTCCATGCATGGCAAGTGCATCGCCTTCGCCGGCTTTCCGCTTGAGAGCTGGGGCCCGAGAGCGCCAAGTTGTAAGTAGTCGTGGGGGTTCGGGTTTAGGGTTTAGGGCCGTTTAGAGTTTAGGAAGTGGTGGTGGTGGTGGTGGTGCTCATGACGATCATGACTTGATGCTGCAATGTTCGCTGTTTGTTTTGTTCGCGTGCCCACTACTGCTGCTGCTGCCTATCTGCAAATCTACTTCTACTGACTAGTAACGATGAGATTAGATTCTAGCTTACAGTAACTGTTGACGTCCGTAGCTTTGATGATTAATGGTACAACGAGCCTAATGTGTACATATGTGTACATACTATCTTCCAGGGATCCAGCCATCATAGATAGCAGTGCGGGAATACTCTTGCTGTATTCATCTTTGTCTTCTTGTGAAGCCAGCAGCGGTAGCGATTCGTGCGAAGTCCTCAGTCCGTGCCGGTTCAGCAAAAGCTGAAGCTCGTGTTTGTGCCACCAATGTTGTTGCCGACAAGCTGAGAATGGAAGCCTGGTTTCAAGCACTCACAACCTGACACAGTTTGCGAATTGTCTGATGTCCCAAGACTCTTCAAGAGTGATGATTGAAACGGATGAGCCACCGGGCACGGTAGTGAAGTACTGTCTCAGGTGCTGGTGAAAAACGTGCAAGATTCGTTGGCGCTGACGGTGACTGGGGCTGTGCTCAAGCACAGCCTAAGCCGATTGGCAACTATAATTAATGGTAGGCAGCTTCCTTCTAGGCCTTCCAATGTTGAGCGAAAGGTTGGAAGTGCACGCTTTACAGATCTGTAGGGTCTACGCCAACTCCCCATTAAACTCCTTAAACTCCAGAGTCCAAAGTTGGCACCTTGAGTCGAACAAGGGCATCGCGAAGCAATCCACCACCTGAAACCTTTAAGGTCCATTACTCTTCGGGCCTTAATAATTACTTTGCGGGCTCCTCATTATATTTCTACTATCATGGGCTCCAAAACCCTATTCTAACTATTGAGGCCTCTAGATTATCGTCCCTTAAGCCTAGAAGCCCTCAGCCCTTAAGGTTCTAGTGAGCTCCACAGACACCGTTTTCAGCCAGGGGGTTGATGTCGTGCCTGACACAATGGGCCAGCTCAGTGAGCAGCACTAAGAATACTGCTGATGGACAAAATCCTGCATGACCCTAAGGACTCTGAATTATGGGAACTATGGTATATTCCGTATAATGGGTAATACAGGATTTTGTCCATCAGCAGTAGTATAGATAAGACAAGGTTGATGACGATTAGAATGATTTTCATTACTCCTATTGCCCTATTGCCAAATCTAGACCACGTTGATAATAGCGATACATGTACTGCTGACAGCCAACCCTAAACCCTAAAGCACCAATTGAAAAATATTACCCCAGGTCAGGCTCGGGTAATGCACCAAACGCTAAGAATCACTGTGTCACCTTCAAGGGTTTAGGTTTTGTGTCATTTTCACGAGGGTTTTGCAGTTGATGGTGCTTTGCCCGAGGCTCAAGCAAGCGTCATGACGCCGCCCGGCACCTGACCGCCAAGAAGCTCGGTTCTCTGGCAGCAGCCCTAAACCGTAATTAGGAGCCAGCAAATGCACCCAAGCATAAACTGTTAGGTGGGATTTCCTTACTGTGTTGTCTCACGTGAAGAGGGGATTACGGAAGTTTTGTGTCCCTGCATGCATCTCAAACAAAGAACCCTAACCAGTAGACATTCTGGGCAGAGGATTTCAGAATGCCACATCGTTACACCGCCGTGCCACGCGTGCTTGAGACAGGCTCTGCGCGATGTGGGGAGGTCCTGGCCGATGCGCTGTGCCCCTGATGGCCATTATAATCATCGTAATAGCTTCGTCGCAGGAATGCCTAAGTGAAGTACCGACAACAACTAGCTGCGACTGCCTGGCGACGACCTTGTGCATTGTTCGTCACTAATTACAGGAGTCATGGTACTTGGCAAGAAGTGTGACGTTAGTCGTCTCCACAATACAACCAGCAGCATCAGCATCACCATGATGATTCGGAGGTTGGCACCGTTGCGAGTGCGGCTGTGGTAGCAACAGCACGGATAGGATTTGTAAAGCCGGGACACAAGTCCGATAGCCACAACAAAGCCGTGAAGCCTACAGCACAAGCTCCGGGCCGTGTTAACTTCATCCTAACCTGCAACCTCAGGTGCAGAGACCCCGACTGGCAGGTCCGCGTCACCGCAGCAAAGGCCATTTCGAAGTAGAAACCCTGGTGGAAGGAGGAGGTCCTTGTCAGAGAGATGGCCATTGCTGCAGGGATTTGCAACACTTGCTTTCGACTGCGAGGATCTGGAAGTCTAGTCTAAGTAAGTATTGAGTCTCTTTCCTGTTCAAAGCCAATGAGCCGACGTCCGCTTGCAGGCTCTTGGAGCTTTTGGAGTGACCCGGCTAGGGTTGAGGCTTGAGCTTAAAGTGCTCGGGTGGTGAGGTCTGGATATTGTGCTTCTGCTCAAGGCATGGTCTTGTCAGGTTCAGGGCTTAAGGGCCTGGGGAGTGAACTCCCCCTGAGATCCCGAATGTGCCCCATAGATTGCCAGGGATTCCATGGCTACTGCAGTAAAAGGGATGATTCCACACATCCAGCACCTTTTTTGAGATCTTTGCCATGAAGCCAGGAGTCCGAACAACGGCTTCAATCCACTACCCGAGACCCAAACCCGGAGCCCACTGCAAAGGCCAAGGCGGCTAAGCCTAAGCCGGAATCGACATCGAGCTGCCAAGGCATTGGCTTCTGCCGATCCCGGCATGGCCTCAGACTCCCCAGCACTCTCGGCGCTACTGCTGTCGTCACTGTACCCTCGGCGTTAAGTTTCAAGGGCTTCGGGGAAAAAAGCTACTGTTTAGATTGCAGACTTGAGCTGTTTTGCCTTTGTCCTGGCTACAGTTTGTCCTTGTTGCTTGGCGCTTCCGCGCCGAGTTTCTGCACTCTCACTCTCACTCTCTCTCTCTCTCTCACCCGTGTCCTCCCTTCTCAGCAATGATCCTTCTTGGTTCTTTCATGGTAGTCGTACAAGTAGGAGCAGGACTGGAAGTGGAAGTTAGTAGTGGCGGTAGCGGTAGCAGTGGCAGTAGGGGTAGCTGTAGCAGTAGAAGTAGCAGTAGCGGTAGCAGTCTCACTCGCATTCGTAGCAGCAGCAGCAGGAGGAGTAGTAGTAGCAGTAGTAGTCGTCGTTGTGGGAGGCAGTAGGAGGAGGGGTGGGGTAGCAGTAGGAGTATAGTATACGAAGGACCAGCACCGCGACCACCACCGGCACACTCATCCGCCTCATCATCATCATCATCATCATCATCACCATCATCATCATCATCATCATCACCATCACCATCATCATCATCACCATCAGCATCACCATCAGCATCACTAGTAGATTAGCACCTCATCACTACCCGTAAAGTTTATCTCTTATCCCCGGAATCTCTTTTACGTTAGCCATCGCAATCGATAGCGGCCTGCAGAGCAAAAGCTGAAAGGCTTTAAGTATTTTAAGTCCTTCTAGACATGTTTCCAGCCCTCTCAGCTCGCAACAGGTACGAGTCGCTTGATGATCCCAACGCTTTCGTGAGGCCCGGCTTCCGGGTCTCGGGGTTCGGGGCTTATACTCTGGTTAGGGGCTTAGGGGTTTAATTTTGGGCTTAGGGTTTAGGGTCTTTTGGTGCTTGCAGACATTAGGGTTTCGCGTTCAGGGTTCGGGCATAGACTCATGCCGGGTGTTTTTTTGCAAACAGACGGGCTCGAGTTTCCGGTAGGTCTGGCACTGAGGCTCGCATCCGAAACTCTGGGCCTTGCGCCCCCTTCGGAGGTAGGGGTTACAAAAATTAAACGCAACCGTTAAACCCGAAGTTCCAAAACCCTCAAACCAAAGGAATACTAACGCCCGTGTTCCCTTAAGAATATAGAGGCACGCAGCCCCAGTTCTATTTTACTGAGGCGCTGGTAGTATGGACATCAAAGTCTCCTGAGATGCTGTGAAGTACCGGCTCTGCAGGACCCTTGAGGCCCCCGGGGAGCGGTCTTTCCTATAGGGCACTACACGGTTCTTGATAAGGGGTATAGTTTAAGGTGCCATAATCAGGAAACCATAGTATTTGGTATAGATCCCTATTATGGTATGGTATCTTACATGAAATCCCTTAAAATGAACCCGGACTCGTGAAGAAAGAGGCTTTTCGCGAAGAGATGGCCTGTCCCGATCAAGGTTCACACTGCAGGCGCTCACGTAATATAGGGGCCTTGTAATAGCTACCTATACTGTTTAGGGGCTTCCTTATTATAGTTATAGTACAATCTGCCCGATAACCCTATTCTAACCATACGGCCCTTACAGTAACCTTTGGCTCGTAGTCAACGCACTGGTATTAGCGGGAGACCTGTTACGGCCCCTCTCCCTCCCGCCGGAAGGGAAGCAGCAGCAGAAGCTGTGGGCCACTTTGGACGGCGTTCCCTCGTCTGCAACCTGAGAATTCCGAGAAGTGAGCATTCAACAGTGATGCACGCCGTGATAGGCGCCTCCTCGTAGATTGCCCACCACCCGCTGGCTTCTTATGTTCGCATCCTTGGGAAGGGTGGGTGTTTCATGGTAACCTGGTAGGAGGCAAGCTTAACTACACCAATCAAAACAGCTAATCAACAGGGATGATACTAACCACAAGGCTCAAAAACATCATTGACACACTAAACGCTGAAGCCCAAACCCTCAGCAATAAACCCTAAACAGTACTTGGAGGTTCATGGGCAGTTATGAGTCGGGTTATAAGTCGCCTAATATAGGTTCTAACCACAGTTATCCTACCTATAACCCTACTTATAACTACCCATGAACCTCCAAGTACGCTTTCCTGACGTACAAGAGACCATAACAAGGAGTCCAGGCCAAGCACTTGGCAGCTTTGGAGGCTTGGCGTGTCTTTCTGCCCGTGTTCTGTTGTAGTAGGTTCTAGGAGCATACATACATATACAGATAGACGAACGAATAGTATATATATATATACATACAAAACTAGATGTACATATGTATATATGTGCCCAGCCTGTCTACCTAAACCCATCCTGTCTACCTAACCCCCCCCCCCCCCCCGAGCAGAAAATAATAGCCTTTTTGAGGTGTTGGGCCATTATTTTACCTCCTTTTGGAGGTTTATTTATCCGTGAGTTGATCATTTCCATAAAGCTCTTTGCGGCACTCCGCTTTGCAGCGTCTTCATCAAACCCTAAACCCCAAATCCCCAACTAGAAACCTTGAATCCCCAACCCTAAACCCGAAATCCCCAGCCCGAAGCCCTAAATCCTCCACTCTATAGACTCCTGCGAACCCAGCCAGGCGGCGCTCCGAAACGACGCAGCCTTCACCGCCCGCGGGGCGGCTGCGAGAGCTCTCGGGAGCACAGAGACTTCTCAAATGGTCTGCATTCTCCGTCTTTTTTTGGATGATGGCCCCACTCATGCATTCCGTTGTGTGTATGAACAAGCACACACATATACATGCAGTACATGAATTACTGAACAGAAACAGATCGGTGTGTACAGTATATACGCATACATGCGAGCATGCCTACATCCGGCACATACATGCCTGCATACATGAGTACATGTATATATGCACGCATGCATAGGTAGATCCATGCAGTTCCATGCGTGCACTCATGCATGCGTGCATGCAAGCAGCATTTCAAGCAACGGCGGCGAGGAGACTTGCAGCCGCCGGAGCTCAGCGCAGAGAGAGTCTCTTGGCCGAACGATTGGCAGCAGGAAGCCAGCGGGAACAGTGGCACAGCACAGTGTTCAGGCTTCGTCACACACACACACACACTCTCTGTCGTTCTCACGGTGTACGTATGTATGCATGTATGTGTGTATGTATGTGTGTGTAATTGTTTATGTATGTTGTATGCATGACCGACGCAAAGGCCTTATTTCAACCTAAACCCTCAAGCCAAAGCCTTAAACCCTAAGCCCCAAGCCCTCAAGCGACTCGGGTTTGGTTGCGGATGATTTTGGGGTGTTTTGGAGGGTTAGGTCCGAAACTTCAGCTTTGTAAGCCCTCGATCCGATAAGGCGCATCCGTGAAAAAGCCAAGTCGCTACCTTAAATGCTGAAAGACCTATAAGATCTCCCAACTACAAGCCCGAAGCCCGAAACGCCAGAAAACCCTAAGACCAAAGCTCCAAACCTCACAAGCCTTATTAAACTGAGCGAAACTCAGACTCGCTTTAGGCGCGGATGCCTTGGCGGCGGCGCTGGCGGATGGGGCGTGGCAGGTCTTTGCACTGTCAAGCGCGGGTTTTGGATTTGTGGTGGGTTTGGAATTTATTGATGGCGCTTTGAAGTTATACGGGGGTTTTGGCCCGGGCTTTAGGACAGGATGTATACGCTTTGGCCTTTGGGCACACATTGGTGAGGCACTTTGAGTTTTTGGGTTCCGCGTTTGGTTTGATCCCCGAGGCCTCAGGCGATCGAGGGTTTGCGTGGCTGCAATTTGAGGTTCGGGGCTCAGGGATGTTGCGAGGTTCAGGGTTTCGGGTTAAGGGTTTACGGTTGAAGCGAGGTGAGGTTTGATCCTTAATAAGCTGATTCTCTTGCACGAACTCGGCATGGTCGAGGAGTGCGGTCCTTATTCTTTCAATTCACAATCCCGACGGCGACTCGATCTTCAACCTTTGGAAGCTCATGAGACCAAAGCCCCAGAAACCTGAACCGAAAGCCCCTAAAACCTTCAACCCTAAGACCTGAAACCCCAAAACCCAGAAACCCAAAACCCTAAAACATCCTTCAAAGCCCTAAGATGCGAAAGGCTCTGAACGCCTGCAGGTCCGCTGGCACGCCGCCAGCGCGCTCTCTCGGGCCTCGACCCACGACGCGGTCGGGACTCTCGGGGGCCTCTCGGGGATTTGGGTTGAGAGTTGAGGGGATTCAGGGTTCGGGGTTTTATAGGATTTATATGCATATATAGGTGTATAGGGACCATTCAGGTGTTTGGGGTTGACTCAGGGTTTAGAGTTTAGGACTTAGAGAGGCCATTCAGGGGCTATGAATCGGAGTTTAGGCGTTGAGGGTGTCTTGTGGCATGTGGGTCATGAGACTTACGAGCTACCCATCACAGACAGTTTCAGCACGTGTGCCCCTTCCATGCCGCCAGGAGTTCTCAATCCAGTGCCCAGAGCTTTCAGAAAGGTCGGCCCAACAAAGCTGGAGCAGAAATGTCGCAAAGGTCGACGGGCAAGTTGCAGGGTGCAGTGCAGCCCTACAACTTTTCCCACAAGCATGCCAAGCTTTGCGACGTTTGCAAGCCTGACTTCTTGGGCCGACCTTTCCGAAAAGGTATGCTTCAAACCCGTACTAGGAAGAGTTGCTGACACCTATTCCACTTGTGCCTATGGCCCAACAATGGTGGCGGGGAAGGCAAGGGCAGAGACGGCCAGAAGCCGAAGGGCAAAGGGAGCATGAGTGAGTAGCGGAGATTCGATGGTCTCAACCGTGGCCGTGACTAAGTCATTGCTGCTGGCGTTGCTCCCGAAGTGGGAAGACGCAAGAAGGGGTGACAAAGCATGGCAAAACCTCCCCCAGATACTTTCGGCTCGAATATCATTGCCTAAGCTTCAACCCTAATTATACTAGATTGCAAGCCCGACATCTTCTCTCACTGCTGCACTTTCAAACCCTCAAAGCTCCAAGCCCAGACGTCCTAAATCCTGCAAAACACGGAACAGCTTTAGAACGCCGGCAAAGCGACTTGGGGTTTCCAGATTTCGCCTGGCGATGTAGGGAACGAGATCTATCTGGGTATAGGGTATGGGGCTTTTCAGGGTTTAGGGTTTAGGGTCTAGGGAGGAAAATACATAGGGGTTGAATATGAAGGGGAGCTGTGCGACCACCATTTGGACCTCGGCTGCGAGGTGGACGCGCTGGCCACTGCGCTGTGCGAAGACCCATCCTTGCACGTCCGGAGCGCCGCAGCAGTGTCGGGACCGAAAGTTGGGGCTTAGGTTTGGCTTAGGATCGCTGGAGCCAGGGGAATGGGGGAATGTTCAGATCAGTATGGGTACCATTGACTTAGACAGCCTTCATGAGCCGTCATGCTGGTTGCTGCTGGTGAGTTCGATGCGCAGTAGCGTTTTGTAGTCGCTCCCCCTGCGAGCTGCCAAGTCTTTCCTTCATTAAAGCTTTCAGGCTAACGGTGTAACATTTCTACTCGACATCGCGGGAAAAAGCCGTGCAGCCAATTTGGAAAAACATATTAAAATTCGGTCCAGGCAGCACTGGGTGTCCTTGCCCATGTGGATGGACGCACGGCCCTGGAGCTCGCTTTGAGGCATCCGAAGCAAGGTATGTGTAGCTACTCATAGTCTTTTGCCCGGACACCCAGGGGGCCTCCTTCAGGCTTCAGCGAGTTCAGGGTTTAGGGTTTAGGGTTTAGGGTTTAGGGTTTAGGGGCCAGATGTCACAGGCTATTACTGCTATGGAACTATTAAACTTCAACTCGATCCAAAGCCCTCAGCTGCTCACCCCTAGGCTGAGCCTGGTGGGGTAATACAGGGGCCTAAATAACTGCCTATACTATTTTGGGGGTTCCTTATTGGCAACATATTATGATGGGCCCCAAAACCCTATTCTAATTATGAAGGCCCCTATATTATAGTACCCTTATAGATCTCTTATATTTTCCCTTAAAGGACCCCATTTGAAGGAACCCTATTCTAACTACTAAGGCCCCTAAATTACACCTCCCGGGCCAGGGCAGATCCCGAGTGCGTCGTTCGTGAAGAAGCGGCACGAAGTCTGGCCTTCGTGGGGCAGTCGGGGCCCTACCGTGGCTGGCAACGTGACTTGCAAAAGCACAGGCACGCATGCAGATATGTATGTCCGTCTGCATGTATGTACATATGTATGTGGTGTCATGTCCTTCTAGTAAGGTACTGTCATACGATTCCCTGTGACAGCAAACAGGGGAACACAATGTTAGGTGATGGAGTGTCAGTTAGTTCGGAGTGGCGGCAGAGCGTCTAAAAAGCCCGTAAGAACTATCATATAACATGCCGGAGAAAATCTGCACGTCCCGATAAAACCGAAAAATGAACACACATTAACATAATCTAAGCCCGACCCCCTCCCCCCCCGCCCCCCAAACAAATTGGAACTCTGAGGTCCGCGGCGCGGCTCTCCAGGCTCGCCGAGGCCGACGCCTGTGCCTCGGCCTTGGCCGAGGCGCTACAGGCAGCCACCTGCATGGGGGGTACTTAAAGGATCATGGGACTTAGTAACTAGGGTTATAATTAGGGTAACTCTACTTATAACTACTTATAACCCTATTTAAGATGGGGGCCCAGAGAGCCCATACCCCTTAATTAAGGAATATAGCTCAAATCATAACCAGAGAGCCCCCATACCCCTTAATTAAGGAATATAGCTTACATGATAATATGAAACCCCACAGAATTTAAGCCATATTCCTGGATTAAGGGTATTGGGCTCTCTGGGGGGTTGAGGGCCTGGGGCTTCAGGGTGTTAAACTAAACACGTTTCAGCTCAAGTTCAGGGTTGTGGCGAAGTTTTCATCCCAAAACGAGGTCAAGGCCCTCAGCCCAGATCCCCTCTCCGAGGCCCTCACCTTACCTTTGGTTAGAAGGGAATGGAAGAATGGTAGTTATAGTTATATTTTTACCCCATTCCTCCATTCCCTACTAAGCAAAGGTAAGTCACTCCCAAGCCCCGCTTCCCACCAAACCTTTTCCTAAGGCTCCTCAACCCGAAGTTACCCCTAAGCCCATACGCTCGGCCCTTCGCCCTAAACCCGACCCTGAGGCCCTTGACCCTGAGCCCTATGCCGTGAACATACTAAGCCCTATATACTAAACCCAAAATCAGGTTTAAAACAGAACCTGAAACCCTAAACCCCAAATGCCTTGCATGTAGCCCCAAGGCCTTTAACCCAAAAGCCTAAACCTCTTGGCCCTAAACCCTCGACCCTTAACCCGTACAGCCCTAAAACCCTCAACCCCAAAACCCTCAACCTCTACAGCCCGAAACCCCTCTAAGCCCCTAAACCATAAACCCCTAAAGGCCTGCGCCCCTAAGCCCGAAACCAGGATGCCTCGACTTCCGTGCGAGTCGCCGCCATTCCGGCGCTCGGCTCGCTGGGCACGGTGGCGCCGGAGCCCTGGGGGAGACTTCAGGCATGTTTGGAGGGGATGATCTACTACTCAGAGAGCCCAATACCCCTTAATTAAGGAATATAGCTTAGACCATAATATGAAGCCCTATATAATTTGAGCCATATTCCTGAATTAAGGGGTATTGGGCTCTCTGGGTATTAATGTATTATAACACACAAACCATAAACTGCTAAAGTAGACTGTAATATACTGTAATGAGAAAATTGGTGGAAGGGGGGATGGTGGGGGTATAGAGTTTAGGGTTTAGGCGTCGGTCTGGTGGCTCTAGCCGTCACGGTTGTGGAGGGCTTGGGGATAGCTTGGGGCTTTAATGGGCTTGCAGGTGTCAGGATTCTTCTTCTGGGTGCGCTGGGCACCAGACCCAATAACAAAAGAACCCTGACCTGAGTAGTTACCAACATCAATCCTTGTGGGCTCCTTAATATCACTATGCCGTATAGTTTATCCCCAAACAAGCTTTTGATTGTGAAGTCCCAAGCCTACAAGATTTGCAAGCCTGCTGCTGCAGTGTCGCCCTCCGGCCTTTCTGCCAGAGGGAGAACGAAGAGTGGAAAACACAAAACTGTGCACCCATAGGACTATGCGCACTATCACGATAGAATCAGGAAAATGCATACTACAAACCCTCAAACCCTAAACCCAAACATTTACACTACGATAGAGTCAGGAAAATTCAGCTGCGAGACCCAGGCTTCCGTGTGCTGGGAATCTCGTGGAGCAGCTGCTGTCTGGTGGCGAGGCGGCTTTTCTTCTGCTGCTAGGACCCAGAGTAGGCCCTTATTCCCTTTTTTAGGGTTCAGGTTCCCTTAGAAGCCCCTTTTAACCAAAAAGGGCATCCTTTTTATGCCTGGGTCACTCTTGGGTCTAGGCTGCGAATGAATTATAACCCTAGGGATCTAAGGACTCACGTATTAATGCTTTGGGGCCCAAAGACCATACTATATAAGGCGTTTGGGTAACCCTAAACCCTAAACCTATAAGTGATGCTTAGAGTACTATAGGGGCCTAAATCACCAATAGAATATTGGGGGTTCCTTTTTTTGAGGCCCCTATATTACCTGCTCATACTGTAAATCTGATCGCTTGCGGCAAGACCCCCATCGGACATGGCCAAACACCAGCGCTTCTGTATGTCCAGGACGTGCGCTCGGCTGTGCAAAAGGCCTCCGGGCATACTATTCGGGGACTGGGGTTGATGCAGTGTCGCTTCATCGCTTTGGAACAGCAGTGGGAAAGGCAATGATCCCCTGTAGTCTTACAGCCTTGGGAACCTGCGGCAATCAATCCGCCGAAGAGCCAGAAACCAATCCAGCTGACGACGAAAGCGCGCAGCGCGATCAAATCTCAAGAACGAGCAGCCGGCAAAACTGGAAGCAGCCTCGGTCCGAATGAGAAAAGAACCACCATCTGGATACATTAAGCTTGAGCCCTCAAACCTAAAACGAAGACCCTAAACCCAAAAGCCCTATAAATCCTGCAGCCTGGACACTAAAACCGCAACTCGGCTTCAAGCCACATAGAAGCTTATCCTCGCCCTTATCGTAACCCTCATAGGAACCCTCATAGCAACCTTTGACCCTTCTAAGAGCCCTTATAGGAACCCCAAGCCCTACAACCTTCTAAAACCTCCAAATCCTCAACCTTTGTAGCGACCCTTGTAAGAGCCCTTATAGGAACCCTAAGCCCTACAACCTTACAAAACCTCCAAATCCTTGAGCCCTTATAGGAACCCTAAGCCCTACAACCTTCCAAAACAAACCCAATCCTCAGCCAGGCTTTCTACGAGGCCACGGGCGCCAGCGCGGCGACCTTAGTGGCTGCGGCCTACGCGCGCGGCCGGCAGAAGGAGCCCCCAGGGGGCAGAGGGTTGTGGGCCCCAAAGTAGTTCCTTTTTGGGGTTCATATTTAGAATCCTATAATGGTAATCCCAAAGAGGAACTACTTTGGGGCCTATAGGGGTTCGATTTCGGGGTTTAAGGGAGTCGTCCGGGATTTGAGGCTTTCCGGGTTGAGGGTTTAGGGCTTCAATAGGGCTTAGGAAGCGGATCTTGAAGCGCTTGATCTCCTGAGAGGGCGTTGGTTTAGGTAGAGGTTTTAGGAGCTGTAGGGCGTTGGGCCCAAGGTTCAGAGTTTCAGGCTTTTGAGGCTCTTGAGGCTTATACGCCTCGGGCACCATTCCCTAAGGCTCCGCAGGACCCAATAATTAGCTACTTGGGTTTAGGATAGTATACGTAGTTATGTAGGGCACTACTTTGGGGAGTATATGATGGCTAGGTACTTGGATCCTTATAGGGATTGCTTTAATGCCGCTCCTCTACATGCGGGAGAGCAGCGTCGGAGGTTCGAGGTCAAAACTGGATTCCCCAGCGCTGTATGATTCCGGGGCGCCAGGCCTCTAAGGTTTAAATGCCTAGAGGGCTTAAAAATTGGAGGATCATGGGACTTAGTAAGTAAGGCTATATGTACCTTAATTGGGGTTATAAGTAGGTATAAGTAGAGTTACCCTAATTATAACCTTAGTTACTAAGTCCCATGATCCTTTAAGTAAGGTTTATGGGGAGAGGGCTAGGTTGCGGGATTCTTCAGTTACAGTCACGAATGCAGCTTATACACAATAAACATTCAGACGTACTGGTATACATTACATTACATTAATACATACATACATACACACATATGTACACACACGCATACATACATACATACATACATACATACGTAAATGCATACATATACATACAAACATTGAAGAGATCATTCCGTCTGTCAGTTCCCGCCAAGCCTTGTTTCAAGGAGTTGTCGGCTCCGTATTAGTCGTGGAAGTGCGTTTTCTCTGACAGGACACCAGCTCCCAACAGCAGGTGGGTTCCTCGAACTGTGCTGGTTCCGGACCTGTCTTAAGGTTGAGCGCTTCCGAAGGTTGGGGTGGGTTGAGGGTTTAGCGTTTTTGGTTTTCCGAGGTTCTGGATGCCTGACGAGTAAGCCAGACAACTATGATTAGTTCTTGGTGGGGCTGTCAGAAATCATCATCCGCGTGTCGCAAGGGTGCTTTGGTGCTGGCTCAATGGCTCCGTAAGCTAAGTACATCGATTTCCTGTTCGTTTCTGCGATTGAAGCATTCACGGTGCCTAGAAGCAGGAACACTTGGGCCTTGATCCATCTGTATCGGGTTTTGCGGGAGTCGTTCTCAGTTTACCTTTTCGTTGTACTTCAAGCTCTGCCATTTCCGCCATAGCAAGCATAGTGCAGCAGTGGTGAACCCCCCCCCCCCCCCCCCGGAATAAGCTGTCTTGCACCTCGTCCAACCGATCACCTGAATGCTGATCGTGTCGACCGGTCGGCACCACCCTCTGTCTGTATCTATCCGTTTCCCAATCGTTCGCGTACTGTTCGTGTCGAGATCTGGACAGGCGCGAGAAGATGCCGCTGAACGTCTGTTTGCATGGTCCAACTCCATCTCGCGGCAGGCGACCAGGGATTCATTTTGAGCCTGGCTTCGGGTTCATAAGGTTATTCCATCACTTCCCTGGGTATGACCGCACAGTGGTTTTGCTAGAGGGATTGCTGTGGCGCATGAGCACTGCAAATCGCATGAATCTGTGTGTTCGTCATGTTTGCGTTCGGTTTGTCCCCCCTGAGAGCTGTGGTGACGCTCATTTGGGAGGTTCGGTTGGGTTGAAGCTTCAGGCAAAGGTCGGGTTTCTTCACACTGGACTCAAGGGTTTCACGCTAGATGATCTGAGGAACAATTTGAAACTGAATTTGCAGAAGCTTCAAAGGGTATGAATGTGCGTGTAGATATATACATACAAAAATGCTGCGGGTCTAAAGCATATAGAAGTGAACAGAAGAGTAAGCATGTTATAACCATATGCAGTTAGGTTTAGGTAAGAGTTCTCAATGAGGAGTCTCATGAGTTTAAACTTCCAAGACCGACCTTGTAAGCCCTAAGCGCGGTGAAAGAGGTGCTTCGCATCATGGCCAACTTGGGCAAGGAGGAGGTGCAGCTGCCCACACCAGATGTCGTCGCGTCAATAGCAATCACAGTCTATACATCGTGAGAATTATGGCGATGATCATGTTGACAATAGCCAAACCAGAGTCACTGTAGTGATAGCCACAATCAAACATAGCATCAATGTTCAAGCACCAGTGAGCATGGTAATTTTCATTGGTAACAATAAAGGCACCGTAGGTTTCTCGACCGGATAGGGCTACTACACATACTATTGGAACAATATAACACCAATCAAGACCTCCATGTCCCGCATGCCGGTATCGTAGAAAGAAGAGCTGGAAGACCGCACCCCCTAAGCTGAGACTCTGAATGCCGAAAGCTTTGAACCCTGAAATGAAACCCTCCCAAACTTCCTAAAACTCCTAGAATCCCAGAACCCCCCAAAACGTGCAAATCGGGGTTTCGGATTGCGGGGTGTAGGGCTTCAGGGCACGGGATGCATGAGTAGACGTCGCGTGAGCGCCGCAATCCAGGATGGAGCCAAGAAGACAAAGCAGATCCAATCTGCTCGGTCCCGAATTCAGGGTTTAGGGTTTAGGGTTAGGGCTTGAAGATACAAGTGCCTCTCTTTTCACACTTTCGATCCCGAATCTGAGCTGCCCAGGCGCAACTGCAACCGCAACGAAAGGAACAGCCGACACAGTGCGGCACCCGAAGAAACCTACAACCCTTCAACCGATAAAGCCTAAGAGCCTTACGGAGCTTAAATTCAATCCTGAACTCCTATAACCCTGAAACCCGTAAGCGCTAAATGCTGAACAGGCCCGTCCTGCCGCCGAGCGCCAGCTGGCTGTGCCATTCCGCAGCAAGGAGTGCAGTTAGTTGAGGAGTTTTTTGAGGCTTGAAGGTTTAGGGCTTGCAGGGTTTAGTAGTTTAGGATAGTTTAGGGCTTCTAGGGTGTGTAGGGTTACAGTAAGGCATTAAGGGCTTTTACATATGTGCATACATAATGTAAACATATGTAACCTTATAGGGTTCAGGGTTCGCAGGGTGTATAGTATCTATAGGCCTCAGGTTGTAGGGCTGCGCTGAGGAGCGCGCGTTTTTGTAAGTGTACGCGGCTCGTTGTTTTGGGCTCCGTGGCCGGATCAAGACTCCAGACAGAACAACTGTGTTCAAGCAGCTCGTTGGCAAAAGCAGGAATCACACGTGTCTTTTTTCTGACAACCTGGGACTGGGACCTCGCGACTTCGGAATATCTTGTGCTCAGTGTGCATGGACCAGATGTAACAGCTGTATACAAAGTTCGCACTCTTTTCAGAATGTTTCGCGCCAAATACGATAAAACTTGAAGCGCTAGCACCGCGTTTCCTTTCTCCTACTTTAGGATTCCATAGATATACCCAAGGCCTACTGGAAATACTCTGACTTGGGTACGGCCCCACTCAGTAATAGTTGAATTATATTCATAATATAGATATATTAGGACCTTAATAGTAGCCCTGTTATAGACTCTTACTGTATGGGGGCAGTACCTAAACTCTAACTAATGTACTGCAGCCCCATATTACGAAACTCAAGCCGTGGTCTTCAAAGCTGACGATCCTACTTGGAAGGGCAGGGGACTTAGTAAGTAGGTTATAAGTAGGATTATAATTGGGGTAACTCCATTTAGGGCACTTATAACTCTACTTATAACCTACTTACCAAGTCCCCTGCCCTTCCAAGTAAGCGCTATACCCTAAACCCCACATAGATCCCTATAAGGAACCCTATAGATCCCTTTAAGGAGCCCTTTAAGAGCCCTTACTAAGTCCCCTGCCCTTCCAAGTAGCATCAGAGGTTGGGACCTGCAGCTGGGCTGTGTTTAGCGGAGGAGGTGCGTACCGCTTAATACAGGGGCCTTAATTCGAACAGGGTTTTGGGGCCCAGTATACTATAGTTATAATGTTAGGAACCCCAGAACAGTATAGGTAATTATTGAGGCACCTATATTAATGACTTCAACGACTGCTGTTTTGCCCGCTAGCGCTCTCGCGCTGTAGTTAGTAGTTACGAGCATTGCCGCTGCTGCACCCGATCGCTGCAAGCAATACGGCCAGCGCCATCGTCGCTTCGAGTGCCACTTTAAGCACCTTCATCCAGATCGTTGTGTCCAGCAGTCTCGCCTCATGCAAGCGGTTTCCCCTGCCAGTATTAAATGGGTCGAACTCGGGTAAATCTTGCCATCGGAGCAATGGTTTCTACTAGCTTAGCTGGGCATGTATTGCGAAGATATCACTCTGCGACAAACAGCTATCCTTATGTAGATTTCAGTCCCGTGAAGCCGCGGTGGTGCAGGCGCAACTATAATTATTGCCCAGTTATTGTCGGCAATGCCAACACCTGAATAATGGTACCAACACTTTCCTGCCCATGTTTACAGCATGTTGCGGTTTTCGCAGCATTTCATACCAAGACTACCACCTTGTGCTTCCTGCCCATTGCACTTTTTGCTCTTCGCATAATAGCGATTCCCGAAGCAGACCTTTCACAGGTCATCAAGGGCAAGATCGCGGAGCTTCCACAACGAATGACCACAATTCGAGGCGGTGCAGTTTTCAACTTGATGAAACCATCTCGGCTCGCCGTAAACCGATGGAATTGGTTCTGTCGACCCAACCGCTGCCGTTGGGAAATAGTTTAGCCCGGGGGTGGCGAGAGATAGGATACACAGGTTCCAAGACATTGTCATCATCACTGATCATTGTCCTCTCCGTTGATCCTTATGCTTATGCTCATATTGCCCCCCAGGTACTCGTATTAGTCCTGAAATTGTCTGAAACTCCATGACAATACCCGAGTAATTCTGTACACGGTTTCACACACTTAGAAACCACGATACGGAGCCCCACAAGAACCCGTAAAGACGGCGCCCTAAATTTTTAGAAAGCCCCTCGAACCCTAAACCCCCAAATCACCCAGGGCTGATGGCCAGTCTGAGTACCGTCCAGCTGCCGCTTGATCTGGCCTGCGCGGACGCCGGGACTGAGAGCAATACAGGGGCCTTAATAATTAGAATAGGGTTTGGAGGTATATTTTACAATAGCTATACTAAGGAATCTCCAAAATAGTACATGTAATTTAGTTTCTTGAAGTCTCTCTTCTGTAGATTCGGTGTAGCTTGTTGAGGGGTCCTCCTGATGCACCGGGGGGGTTCCGCGCCTGAGTTTTTGGATACCACCTGGGGCTATAGGTTACCACCCTACACCCTGAACCCTAAACCAATGCGGGATTTGCGAGGTCGAGGGGAATTTGGAAGGTCGACGTGAGTCAAACGAAGGTCTGTACTGCACCTTTTTAGGCTTGGAGTTATCTGGCCCCTTTGAGTAGCTGATTCTGTTTCACCGGTGTTCTTTAAATTCTGGAGGCTTATTTTGGGCGCCGTTTTCTTCATTTTCTGAGCACCGTTCCTCCCCTCCCCTCAAGAGAATGGTGTGTTTGTTTCCGGCATGACCCAAGGCACTTTCCGAGTGGATCTACGAGCCATCTCTGGAGACCATGCCAATTCCAGGCATCCGACTCTTTGACTTCCGGAAGTAAGGGAGTTAGGGCCAGTTAGGGGTTTGGGGGTTTAGGATTTGGGGGTTTAGGGGTTTGGGGTTTAGGGGTTTAGGCGTTTGGGGTTTAGGGGTTTAGGGGTTTGGGGTTTAGGGGTTTAGGGGTTTGGGGTTTAGGGGTTTAGGGGTTTAGGGTTTACGGGCCGATGCAGGACTGTGAATAGTCGAAGCCTTTCTTTTTGTAAGGACACCAGAACCCTAAACCCTAAACCCTAAACCCCTAAACCCTAAACCCTAAACCCCTAAACCCTAAACCCTAAACCCCTAAACCCTAAACCCAAAACCCTAAACCCTAAACCCCTAAACCCTAAACCGGAATTCTTTCTCTCAAGGTTTCACGGCTTTTCGGCCTTTGGGCTCACCCAGGCTGAGCCTGGTATCACAAACGCAGCGTCTGCCTCGTTCCTCTGCGAGACCCGTACTTGGAGGATCATGGGACTTTAGTAAGGTTATAAGTACCTTATAATTGGGGTTATAAGTAGTTATAAGTAGAGTTACCCTGATTATAACCCTGGTTTCTAAGTCCCATGATCCTTTAAGTAACCTTGCTGCCAGACCCCAACCCCACGCACCGGTAAAACCGATGCGCCCGACACAAAGTTCAAACACCCATCAATGCAAACCGACGCCGAAGCTCTTTCAAATCTGCACGTGGGATATAAATCCTCTACCCAGCCTGGGTTGGCTTTTGGGTTGTATGGGGCCCAAGAACGAAAAAGTTAATTCAATGTGTTGAAAGGCCAACCCTCAAACCCTAAACCCTTACAAACCTGAACCCCTCAACCCCCTAAACCCCTAAAGCCCTCAAAACCCAAAAACCTACATAAGCCCAAAGCCCAAAACCCTAAAACCCTAAGCCCAACCCCAAAACATCACTTTAAACCAGGGCTGGAGCTGGTCCGGGTCCAAACTCCCGAGCAGCATCACGGAATCAACCTGCAGCTGCCGGCCCGAAGTGTGGGAATACCATAGGGGTCTTAATAATTAGAATGGGCCCATTATTATTGAGGCCTCAATAATTAGGATAGGGTTTTGGAGCCCTTTATATTGTAAATATTTAATAAGCACCCCCCCCCCGCCAAAAAAGATGACGTTGAAATACACGTAGCGTTCTTCTGGTTGGCTCTTCGGACTTTAATTTTTTGGATTTCAAACGAATATAAACAAGGATTCGACAACGATGGTAAAAGCTTAACTTTTCGGAAGGCTTCAGAAGTCAGCCAAGCTGTTGATGGTAGAACTCCTGCATTACCTCAAGGACCCTAAACTGTGAGAGTTATGGTTTCTTCCTTAGTATGGGTATGGGTAGTGCAGGATTTATATCATCGACCGTTGGATTTGGGGTGAAGGGTTCTATTCCAGGCTTTGCCAAGGAGGAATTGGGGTGTAGGGGTTCTTGTTGAGGTTTTGCCAAGGGTCCATGAGGGTTTTGTGAAAATCTATAGGATTTGGGGTGTAGCAGCCTTTCTTTGTGATGGTTTTACAAAGGTTCCATGAAGGGTCTAATTTGGGATGTAGGGGTTTTTGAGCGTACTTTACCAAGGGTTCCGTTAGGGTTTTACAGGAGTCTAGAAGGGTTGTGGTTTCTGGGTCAAGCATCTCAGTTGTAGGGCTTTAGGAGCTTTAGGGTTTAGGGTCCAAGTTGCTGGGTTGGTGGAACAGCTTCCTGTTCATTTTGCTTTGTGGAGTTGAGTTCCTGCAATCTGAACCCGGCAGTTTCATTGAGTTGGCCTGGTTTGTGCGATCACCAGCTTCTCTCGAACCTGCCTCGGAAACTTCGATAATAATGAGGCTTTTTGTCACGAGATCCAATCTACCGCAGACATAATTGCCTGGTTCTTAGTAGGGAATGGGGGAATGGATAGTAGTCCCTACAGAAGCCCCAATAGTAGTTCCCATAGTCCATTCCCCCACTCCCTACAAAGAACCAGGGAGATAGGATCCTCCAAGCTTCACTTTGGAGCCCTCGTCCATTTTTGGCAAGAACGATATGGGAGTTTCCGAAAATAGGGGACCCTAATATAGTACCCTAAATAGTAGGATCCTTATTTTCAGGACCCCAAAATGAGGTACCCCTGTTTTCGGAAACTCCCATATCTAAACCCCAAGGCCTGATACACTTGGTGTAGCAAGCAGGCCTTCCTCCAATCATCTTCGCACCGCCCAGCTACTCTTGATAATTACCTATACTATTTTGGGGGTTCCTTATTATATTAATAGTATAATGGGCCCCAAAACCCCGATTCTATCCACTAAGGCCCCTATATGACATTCTCAAGCGGCCAACCCGCAAAGCTTGACATCCCATTCACTTCCCTGATATCCTGAACCCAAACCCCCTTCCCCCAAGCCCTGAGCGACTCGTCACTGGCACCGAAGCCATTGTCCTCACAAGCCCGACACCCTAAATCTAAGAACTGTGTGCCCTGAGGTGAAAGTCTTGACTTGGCCTTATTATGGTCGTAAACGTAAACCTTATGACCCGAACCGAAACCCTAAAGTTGTCAGCATCAACCCTGAAGCCCGAAACCCCCCTACATTTTAGGTCTTCCCCAGGTGGGCAGTGCTCAAGAACACCTCGGGCTGCTGCTTCGTGGTCTTCCGGGGATCAGAGACGATGCTCGACTGGACCGAGAACAGCCACTGGGTGGCAGAACGGGGGTTGCGTTTGGGGCTTGGGGTTCAGGGTTTAGGGTTTGGGGGTTCCTTAAGGCTTCTTCCAGGGTTCTTTCGAGGTAAGGGTTCTGCAAGTGTTTGTTAAGGGGCCTGTAGGGGCTTGGGGTTTAAAGAACGGACAGCCTTTGCGTGGCAGAGGCTTATAGGGGCAGTACCTAGGGAGATATTTCTTGTATGATCAAGATAGTTACATGGGGAGAAGTGATACGTACTCAAGGGGCTCATGCTCTGCTCCGTGCCTAGCAACACGCAGCTTCATAGGGTTTGGGGTTTAGGGTATAGGGGGGAGCATGGCACTTCTCGATCTTCGTCCATTGACGCCAAAAGACCGCGGAACCAAGGCAACCTGTCCCTTCGCCGCATCGATGTGCCTGCCTGGCGAGGAGTTGCAAGCCTCGGATGTGTAATGTAGGGGCCTCAATAATTAGACCAGGGCTTGCGGATACAATATACTATAATACTATACTTATGATTCATAAGGAACCCCCAAACCCCCATTCTAATGATTCAGTCCCCTACATCATGGGTCAGTTTTGAGTCTGGGGCCTTGCGAAGGAGTGCTCCTCGTCCACAGCGGCTTCTGGAGTACTGCTGAGGCCTGCTCCGAGACTCTTCTACTGCTCGACATCCTTCTTCCAGGTTAGAGCCTGCTGAACTTCTAGCTCATCTTCTGCCTCGACGCAGTGTTGCAGAAACCCACAGAATAATCCATTATAGTAGCCGTTCCAGTAACCGGTAACCCTTGTAGTAGCTCTTCTCATGACCCTGACAATAACTCTCAGAATTGAAAGGCAGACGCCCCTTTCCTCCTGGAAGCGATCCTGGAGGCGTTTCGATTGGAAGCTTGACCTTGGGCAGATGGAGGAAAGTTTAGGTAAGTTTAGGATTGAGGGCGTAGCAATTTGGCGTTAAGCGCTTGGTGCGGGGAGGTCAGCCACGTCGTGCTCGCAGTCAGGTAACAAACGCAGAACTGTGGCATGCAGAGTCTGGTCTGTGTTGTGCCTCAAGCACAAGGTGTTTGATAATTCCATCAGTGCCACCTGACCTGTCGGTGTCCTCGAGCGGTGCACGGCAGGCCAATGGGGGAAAACCATTCGAGACTCAGCAGCAATGTTCCACGGATTGAGACATTCAGCTTTCTGCCTTCATATGTCGAGTTCTCGCCCTTCCTGCTCAGGGCCGTTCTGTGCACCGCAAATCATGCCAGTAAGAACGACGGTGCTGCAGCTGCTGCCGTGCCCGTACTCGAGCGACTATTCTTGCCACTGCGGCCACTGTCACTACCAGCACAACCACCACTACCACGACTACTAACTTACTACGATTTCTGTTTATGTGCTGCTCCTCCTACTAATGCTAATGTTGCTGCTACTACCGCAACCACTGCGACCATCACAGCCACGGCGGCCACTACGGCGACTACTACTTCTGCTACCGACGATTACTGCTACTGCGTAAGCCTTGGGATCAGGAGCGGCTCATCCTTTGCGGGGGCTCCAAGGGCGGTGCGAATGCCCTGGCGGCCGCCCTCCAGTGGAACTTCGGGCTGCAAAAGATATGGAGTAAGGGCTCACAGTCCAGGGCTAAGTAGGGCTTTGGACTTGTTTAGCCCCAGACCCCAGCCACTAATTCTCCAGCCACTAATTCTGAATCCACAGCTAGAATTCTGCTGCATGACTTTAGGACATTCAATCTTCTGGTGGGTGTGATTGGTTCGGGCTTTTGGCAGCTGCCGGTGTCCACACGCTTGTGTGTGTTGGGTGTGCATTCTCATGTCATCGCAGCTACGAGTCTGTACTCAGTTTATGTATGAGTTCTATGTGTGTGTATGTATCGGTATGAGTAGGTATAGGTATAGCTATACGTGTCTTTATCTGTACCTGCAGGTATCTATAGCCGCGTCTGTCTCCGTATGTGTAGATTTATAGGTATATGTGTATAGATACATCATGTATACGTGTATAGGTACATTATGTATACGTATATGTCTGCGTATATGCATAAGTATTTGTTGGTGTAGAGTAGATGTATAACATGTTCGTGTATATGCACATGTATATGTATATGTATTTGTATGTGCATATGTATTTATACATATATTTTTTACATATGTATATGTATCATATATATGTATGTCGTATGTACATGTATGTGTATAAGTATATTTATATGTCTATGTATACGTACATCATTCTATGTATATTCGTGTACGTGTGTAGGCATGCATGTATGCATGCATGCATGCATGCATGTATGTATGTATGTATGTGTGTGTATGTATGTATGTATATATTCATTCTGTATGTATATATGAATGTATGTACGCATGCAGGTATGTGTGCATGCATGTTATGCCGCGCTATGATACGATATGGTAGGTTATGCTTATGTTATGTTATGTTTGAATGAATGAATGAATGAATGAATGAATGAATGAATGAATGCATGCATGGATGGATGGATGGATGGATGAATGGATGTATGTACGCATGTACCTGTAGGTTTATAGTCATAGATCATGCATGTGTGTAGATGTATATACATGCTCATACATGCTGTTAGCTAGAGACTCTCGTCCGACTTGTTTCACAACTATCCACAGGACGAAGTTTTGCTGCTGCTCTAGCAAGGGCTGCGTGCTTCTGTGTAGGGCGTTGAGCAGTGAACAGCCGACTATGGGTCCTTTGAACTTTGTGCCAAGGCTCGTGCCCCTTCCTGGGAACCATCGGCACCTTGTCCTGCCACAAGACAGTTTTTGGTTCCTGCGGTACTTGCGGGCTTCTTCACCAAACCACCCCGAAATCGTAGTACCCTAGCTAGGGCTCAAATCCGCACCCGTAAGCCCAAAGCCTGAAACCACAAGATTTCGTTTCGAGCCGAGGGTGAAGGAGCTGCCCTGCAAGGACCTGACAGTTGCATCTCGGTGGAGCGTGAGTTGGTTCTGTTTGTGTTGATGTTCGGGTTTTGTGCTCTGGTTTTAAATTAGCATTCTTCAGGGAAAGATTGACTTAGACGACAAAAAGCCAGTCCCCCTGGCCGACCGCATGTTATTCGACAAGTTCGCGTAAGTATGCTCACGCTGGCTCAGTGGCATGAGGTATCTGACAGGCCAGAACCATCAACGGCGTGGTTCTTAAACTGTACAACCGGTCATACCAGTATATTGGATGAAGACAGAGAATTACGGTTACGAGCCATATGTTGTACGTACGTATGTGTGTGTACGTATATGGATGTACATGTACATAAACACATGCATACATACATACATATTTACATACATAATTACATACCTAATACTTACGTGCATTTATACATGCATACGTACATACACTGACATACACATATGTATGTATAACTGTACACACATATGTGTGTGTACATATGTCGTCTAGATATGTACGTGTATATATATATATATATATACACACATATACGAATACACGTCTATACCAGCTCTTATTAATGCATGGGCTGGTCCTCTCTATCAGCCGTTCAGCATCAGTTCACCCTTTTTACTGAGTGTGCGATCTCACACTACATGAGACTCTGTATGTTCTGCATTGCCACATAGGTCTGTGTAATCAGTTACCCTGAGTCAGGCTGTTGAACGGAAACACGTGCCCGCCCGACAACATTGGGACCGGAAACTCTGAGAGTGAACCTCCGACCCTCAGGTGACCTTCGGAGCACCAAATTTGGTTGGCCGAGGGAGCGCGCAGTTGGCCGGCAGCGCTCACGCTTTGCACCGTGTTCGCAGGAAGCTAAATCGCGGCTGTCGGTTGGATGATGCTACCGCTGCTAATGAACTGTCCAACTGCTTGGAGGTCTAAACGGTTGCTGTCAGTCTGGCCGCAGTCGTGGTTTCATCACGATCTGCCTCAAACTCCACTGCCATGACCTGTTTTGGTATCGCCACCACCACCAATATCATCATTAAATTCAATGACAAAGCTCACCATGACCCTCGTCGTCATCAATTGCCATAGGCCTTGTGGTGACCGCTTGAGGCGGTCATCGTGTCCATCGTCGTGCTGATCAGCCTCGCCGTCGCGAATGTCCGACATCATCACTATGGTGGCAAGCATGTCGCACCTCGCACCATGACAAACACCATCACCATGAAACTCCATCATCACTGTGGCTTTCATCACCACCACCGTTGTGGGCGGCAACAGCTCCATGAGTTTCATCACATGTAACACCGCCCTCAGCTCGTCAGGAAAGAAACCTCTGACTCTACACACCCTACCTTTGACTAAAACTGCTCGAAGCCATCAGTGTCAGCTGCCTCGCTGGGAGCCCTCAACCCTACTTGGCGGATCATGGGACTTAGTAAGTAGGGTTGTAGGTGCCCTAACTGGGGTTATAAGTAGTAAGTTACAAAATCCCATGATCCTTTAAGTAAGCCATGAAGAGTCAAACCCCACCGTCCTCGCCGGACTCTACACGGCGGCCGAGGCATCAGCTGAGAGTGGTGCCTTGGAAGGAAGCAGATAATGGTATGCAGACCCACATAACGTAGACAACATGGTTATACGCTTCACTAGCATGAACGATAGTTACAGCGCTCTGGATACATTTTCCCGAACAGAGATGATTAAACAAGCCAGTCATGATGACAACAAGAACGACAATACGAGCAGCCATTGTACTTGGAAGCAGCAAGACTTAAGGCACTGACGACAATCACGGTCTTGATCACCAGCTTTGCAGATAGTGTTTCATGATCTGTAGTACCTACTGCAGGCTTCGTGTGTGGACACCGAAGGTTTGGGTCTCTCAATCCAAAAACCCCTGCAACCCACAATCCCAACTCAGGATTCCCTGCACCCAGAAGCCCTAACTCAAAGTTTCGTTGGGTTCCATGAATGTCTATACTGCTACTCTCGGGAAAGCCCTACACTGCTACACCAACTCTGACATGGAAGTGGAGAAACCGCGCCCGCTAGGCTTTCCGAAAGAAGGCGCCGCTTTCACGGGCCTGGAGTTTCGTGCAGGACCTGCGAAGAATCCCGCGAAGAATTCCGCAACACATGAGACATGAGACGTCTTGGTCACAGTAAAGCGGCAAAAAAATACTCGCAAGCACTACGAAGATTACTGCGAACTGCTACATATACATCATCGGCGATGCAGCTGCCACTGTACCTCGTCCTCCTCCTCCTGCTACTGCTACTACTACTGCACCACTATGGCGATCGACAGCGACTACTACTACCACGATTACTGCGACGAGTGCAAAGACGAACATCAACAACTGTGAGTGAACAGTAATAGAAAGGTTATTGCAGCGTCAGTATCGCGACCGTAGTGAAAGTGATTCACTAATCAGCAAAGGTAAGTGCGTGTCAATATGGCTACCGCAGTTTTGTGTGGACGACACGAGTGATGACAGGCGTTAACTGTCAAGCCCAAAATCCTTACACCCAGAATTGCCCGGAATAGCGCTAAACGGGTTCATCATTGTGCACTGAGAATCTGCTGGACCAGTGCTTTCTACAGCCGGGATCCAAGTCCTAAGAACAATCCTAATTAAACTTGAAGCCCCAGACTTACACTCCGAACCTCGAACCTGAAAGCCCAAGCCTACACTCCAAACGTCGAGCCCGAAGCCTGCGGCCTCAGATTCATGCCGGCCTCTGTGCGAAGGACCCGGTTCCAGCTTTGATGAGCTCGCGTTCGGCGGGCGTCATCTTGCAGTACCACAAAGGCCTCGCATTTAAACGCTGCACGGTGAGTCAGGTTCAGCATGTTGTGTCGAGACATTATGCTTCCAGCCTTTCTTGGATCCAGTGACAATAATTACCAACAAAGCCAAGGGAGACAAAATCTTGATGGAGTATACTTTCAGTCTTCAGTGTGTATGAGGTTGCGTCTCTTCGGGTGCTTGCTTTGGGTTTCGGAGTTAGGAGTTTTGGCTCGGTGTGCATCAGCGAGGGACTTCGCTTGCAAAAGC